AAATTTCTAAATATTAGATAAATATTAATTATAATTAGTTATTAGATTAATTTTAATTAAAAAATATTTTTTATTTTAATTAGATATTTTTTAATAAAAAATTATAGATTATTATAAAATTTTACTAGATTTTTAACTAGTATCTAGATTTTATATTAATAAAAATCTAATTATAATTATTTTATTAATTTTATATAAATATAATCTTTCTTTCTAGTTATTAGATATAGTAATTAATAATATTAATAATTATAATTCAATATTTAATTTAATTAAAATATTTAATCTTATAATATTTTTATTAACTTTAAAATAAAAAATATTATTTAAAGTTAATATTATATTTTTTATTTTACTTATATAATTTAATTTATAATTAATATTCTTTTATAGAAACTTTAGATTAAGACTTTAAATAATATTATTAAATATATTTAAAATAATAATAATAGAAATCTTAAAGTCTTTTCTAATATTTTAAGAATTTTTAAAAAGTTATAATCTAAAAATTATTTATAAAAAACTAATATAAATAATTTTTTATGTCAAATTTTTATAGATAACTCCTAGAGATCCTTTTTTTATAATAATATAATATATTAATTCTTAATTATAAATTTAAAAAATTATATAATTTATAAATATAAATTTTTATTATTATAAAAAATTCTAGTTTATTTAATAATTTGAATTTAGTTTAATTTAATATTTTTTTTAGATTATAAAATCTATTAAAAATTTAATTTATCTTATAATTTATTAAGTATATAATTTTTATTAAATAATTAAAAATTTTATTTAGTACTATAATTATACTAATATTAATTATTTTTAGATTAATTTTATTTAAATAAAAATAAATAGAATATCTTTTTAAATTTATATATTTATTTATTTTTTTAGATTTTATTTATCTAAAAATAATAAATTTATTATTTATAAAATTTATAAAATTTATAATAATCTTTTTAATTATCTAGATTACTTTATTAATTAATTAGTAAAAACTAAATATTCTAAAATCTTCTTTTTAAAGATTTATAAAATATATATTAAAAATTATAAAAATATTATTACTATATTTATTAAATAAAGAATTATATTTATATAATTATAATAATTCTTAATCTAATATCTAAACTTAAGAAATTTAAGAAAAATATATAATTTAATAATAATATTAATTAATATAATAAGTACTAGACTATTTTTAAAAAAATATTTTATTTTTATTATAATCAAAATTTAATTATTAATATATTATTTATTATCTTTAAATTACTTTTAAATCTAAATAAGATTTTTTTAAAATATTTTTAAATATTAGAGGCTCTTACCCACAGTAAAAATATTAAAAAAATTTAAAATATTTTTAAAATTAAAAAATATATAATTTATTAATTTATTTTTAATTTAATTAATATTATTTTAAATATTATAAAATATATTAATATTTTTATTTACTAGAAGTTTTATTATAATTAATTTTTATTTTTTATTAAGTAACTAGAGATTTTCTATTTATTATAACTAATAAAATTAATATTAAATATTTATTTAATAATTTTTAAAATATTTATTATTATTATTAGAGTTATCTCTAGTTTAATATATTTAAAATATAATTATTTTAAATATATATTAATTATTTTACTATAAATAAAAAGTATTAGAATATTCTTAGAAATCTTAATTTAGATTTAATTATTTTATATCTAAAGATTAAAAAAAATAAGATAATTATTTTTCTTATATTCATAAAAATAAAAATATAAATAATTTAAAAAATAAATTATTATTAAGAATAAAGAAATAATTCTATCTAGATTTATAAATATTATATACTTTCGAATAAAAATTTATTTTTTATAATTTTTATACTATTATAATTACTATTTTAAGTAATATAAAAAGTAATTAATATATATATTTTATATTAGATATTATTCTTTTTATATCAAATTTTATAAATTTTTTTAAAATATAATATATTTCTCAGGGGAAACAGATAAAATAAATAAAATTAAAAAAATAAATAATCAAATATAATTATAATATAATTATAATATAATTATAATATAATTAAAAATATATTATACTTTATATATTATTTATATAAAAAAGATATATATATTATTAATTAATTTATAATTAATAATTTATTTATTATATCCGATCTTTCTAATTAGTAGATATAAATAATTAAAATAATAAGTATATCTTAACCTAATCTTAACTATATATTTAAATTATTTTTTATACTTTAACTTAACTACTAGATTATAGTCAGGTTAAGGTTAAGGTATAATAATCAGGTTAAGCTACTCTAATTTAAAGTAAAAGGTCTATCCTAAAACTGTATTTCTTTTTAAATCAAAAGAACCCACTTTTCTAAGCTATAATTAATTAAATTAATTAACACTAATAAAAAATTAATTTAGTATTATATGTAATAGTTTAAATTAGACTTAATACAATGAAGATTTACTAAATTTTATTAGAGTATTTAATCAAGCATAATTCTAAATATCTTAAAGTAGTAATTACTAGAATTATTTTTTATCAGTTATTTAATTAATAACTAGATTGATTATTAGATTCTATAGTAATTAAAATTATTTAATATATTTAGTATTTTAAGATTTAGTTTTTATTTTAATTTCTTTATTTTTTTACTAATATAGAAATAATTTTAAAAATTATAATATCTATTTTTTTACTAAGTAAAGATAGAATTAATTTTAATATATCTTTTTTAAAAAGATTATTAGTAATCTTTGAATAAGGAGTTTATCTTAATTAATCTAATTAATTATAAAAGATTATACAATTAATTTAAAAAGATTACTTAATATTTTATTTCTTTTAGGAAATTAGATAGTTTTAATTATCTATTTACTTAGTTATTTCCAGGAAGTTAGATAATAAATATAAGAAATTCTTATAATAAAAAATCTTAATTTTGTATATTAATAAAAAAAATATTTATTATTTTTTAAATTAATCTAGAAAGTTAGGGAAATTTTTATTTAATTTATTTATTTATAAATTTTAAATTGTAATATTTCTAAATAAGCTAAGTTTTTATTAAATAATATAAATTTTAATAAAGCCTTTAGATAAGATTCTAAATAAATAATATTTATTAATTATTTTTTATTTTTTTAAAATATATAATAAGTATTAGGTAAATTCTTAGAGCTTTAAAAATCTAGTAAAATATTTTCAAATTAAATATAATTATTTTATTTTATTTTTTCAAAATAAAAATAATTAGTAAGATTACTTAACTAAGTATTAAATAAAATTTATCAAATTTCTTAATTTAGAATTAATAATTATATTATATTTTTAAAAAAGAGAACATAGTCTACTAGATCTAGAATTTAAATCAATTTTAAATTAATTTTATTGTTCTAAATAAAAAATAAACTAGACTGAATTAGATAACTAGATTTTTTAAAAAAAATTTAGATTTATCTATTTCTATATATCTTTATTAATAGTATATAATCTAATTTAATTAATATATATTAATTAATTAATTTACTAATTAAGTATAATTACTTTATCTAAAGCAGTCTAATTTATATTATATCTTATAATAATTTAGAAATAATAAGAAAAATTAATTAAAAGAAATCCTAGACTTATAATTATTTAATATAAGATTATTTTAATATATATTTTTAATTAACTTCAATTATTTTTTATTTTATTTAGAAATATAGTGAAAAAGTAAGATAAAAAACAAGATAAAAGTAAAAGATATCTAAGAAATAATAAATTAAAAAAAATAAATTAAGAAAATAAATAGGATAGTAAATATATTATATAATAATCTAATTAGTTAAACCAATAAAAAAATAATAAGATAATAAATCCTTTTTATATCTTAATTAGATTATTAATTGTCAATTAGTTAGTATATAAATTATTTTAAAAATAAGTAGTTAGAAATAGATTATACTATCTAAATAGTATAATTTATTAAACTTATTTAAAAAAGAATAATCAAGCTAATTAAATTTACTATGCTAAATTAGGCTAAGTAGGGCTATATCTCTAACAATATTTGAATCTAATTATTGAGAATACTGATTTTCTGAGTATAGTATTTAAAATAATTTCAATATTTTATTTTTTATATTTAATCATTTTCTTAACTATTTTTAGCAGTCCTAAAACTTTTATTATTCTCTCGGTTCATTCTTAAAGTTTTTCTTTTCTTTTCTTTTCTTTCTCTATGATTATTATTTATTTTAAAATATTATTATTTCTATTATTTTTATTACAAATATTTTTAATTTTTATTAATTTTATTAATTTTTAAATTATCAAATTCTTCTTATTCTTTATTATAAATTATTAATTAATTATTTTCTATATAAAATCCTGTTTATAGATTTTATTTATGTATTTATTTTACCTTATTTATAATTGTATTCTCAATATATTAATAATATATATATTTCTTTATTATATCTAATATAGATATTATCTTTAATTAATAACAATAATAATATTTAATATTTTTAAATATTTCTATTATTTTATATCATGTTAAGTAGAATATTTAAATAAGAATACTGTTCTGGAAATATTTTTATTAAATAATTTTATCTTAAATATGCTAACCATAATAAAATATGTTTAGTATTTATATATAAACTCTCTATGAAAATAAATATATATCTAGATTAGATACAGTACTCCTGTATTATTATTTTTCCTCACTAGACTTAAAGGTGTAACTATATCCATACAGGAGATAGTTTTATACAACTTCCGTTTCATATCCGATTGGCATAGGAACTGGGAAGCCTTACCGGCCAACTGCGCAGTTTCCAGCTTCCGTTACCAGTTCCTAGTTCCGCGCCACCTGATCCATCCATGAACGTTGTGCAACCCCTGCTTCAGGGAAAGACTTAGATTGCGCGGCATCTCTCTTCAATCCTGTCTTATCTAACTGGTGACGCATGGGTTCAATCTAATCAGCAATGTCTCGTACAGAAGCCACTCGCACGGCGTCTAACAACGAAGGAAATGACGGGGCTCCTGATGATAAGAAGTCCCGCAACAGAAGACCAGCAAGTGAGGATAGCACCACTGTCGAGGCTATACGGTTCAAAGTTTGACAGATGAACAGACACCGCTTTCCGACAACAGCGCCTGAAAGCCTGGCAGTAAGGAGATCTGGATCAATGCATCTTCACCAATTTAACGCTGACACATACAGGCCAATCTTAACCCCCAAGAGCGTATTGCCTCTGTTTTTTGTCATCGGCGTGATATTTGCCCCTATCGGCGGTCTCCTACTATGGGCCAGCTCTCAGGTATGCAGCATCTTAATATTGATCTTTGCTCTCTAGTTGGCTGAATATTGCTAGGTCCAGGAGATAGTCATAGACTATTCAGAATGCGCCAGCAAGGCATCTTCCCAACCATCATCCATCTCAGATAGAGTGAAAACTTCGTTCAAGTCCAGCAACGAACAGTCTACACCGACTTGGCAGACCCTGAACGAAAATGGGAAAACCGTCTGTCGTCTGATTTTCGAAATACCCGATAGACTAGAACCGCCCGTATTCATGTACTATCGCCTGACCAACTTCTACCAGAATCATCGCAGATATGTTAAATCACTCGATATTGATCAGCTGAAGGGGAAGGCCGTTGACAATAAAACTATTAGTGGGGGATCCTGCGACCCCCTCAAGCTTGACCCTTCGGGAAAAGCGTATTATCCCTGCGGTCTTATCGCCAATTCGCAATTCAATGACACGATTAGCAGCCCCCAGTTGCTTAACGGTGATGATGCCCAAACTTATTACATGACCAACAAAGGCATAGCGTGGGACAGCGACAAGCAGCTTATCAAGAAGACCCAGTACAATAAATGGCAGGTCGTCCCACCTCCTAACTGGCATGACCGCTATCCCCATGGATACCTTGACGGGATACCAAACCTTCACGAGGATGAAGAGTTCATGGTATGGATGAGAACTGCAGCTTTGCCGGCGTTCAGCAAATTATCGCGGAGAAATGATACGACAGCCATGGCCGCTGGAAGCTACCAGCTCGATATCGAGGACCGTAGGTTTGGGCAGTCTAGCAGTACTACCAAGGTCACTAATGTCTGAGCAGGCTTTCCTGTCACTGAGTATGGGGGTACAAAGTCGATACTAATATCCACCCGGACCGTCATTGGTGGCCAGAATCCTTTCATGGGGATTGCTTATGTCGTTGTGGGGGGCGTTTGTATCGTGCTAGGCGCCCTTTTTACTATTGCCCATTTAGTACGACCCAGGTACGATTCCAGTCGACTAGAAACTCATTCGCTGCTTGGAAAGCCTTATTAACTTGCGTTCCCTAGAAAACTTGGTGATCATACCTATCTGACCTGGAATAATGATCACGATAGCTCTGCTACTTCCACAGGAAGAGACGGGAGGCTTGGATCTCACGCTCCATAGGAAGTAATCGCTCATTATATTGAACGCCTCTCGGTCTTCGCAACAGTAATGCATCGTCTCTCTTCCTGTGTCCAAGGCTATTTGTTATATGGTGATCGCAATGTTTAAAATGATTCCTGATGCTCTCGATGCTTGTGCTTATGGAGTTGCCTAACTTGTACTCATTTCTATTTACACCAAAGTGATGAACCTCTTATCAAACAGTTTGCTGTTTACTCAACATGAATGAAGAGGAAATATTTCTGTTATTTCTGCTCGGGCATTTACCCCTTGTTACAGCATTCTTGAGGAGTCGAATTCCCCTTGACAAGTTTGTTGTGCTTGGCCAACGATACATTCCGTGTAGCCGTCGTCGCAGCCTTTTATTCTCTTTTGCCACAGGGTGTTCCAGCGAAAGAGTTGATGTCTCATAAATTAAAGCAAGTATGGCTCCGTTGCACATCTTTAGCATTTTGTTAATGCTTATTATGATGAGCATGCAGGCCTTGTGCAGCGTCTCGTTTGATCGCGGCTTCTGCGCTACACCTGCGCCCAACGAAAATTTGAAAGCGGAGTATAGGAGGATGAGAGCTTCTGAACCAAAAATCAGTTCTGGCTCTAACTATGAAGCCCGAGAGGCTATAAAACCCATTGAAATAGAGACATGGTTTCATGTTGTGAGCAGCCAGGAGGCGGCCAACTCGGTTTCAGACCAGATGATAGCCTCTCAGGTATGTATTGCCCTATCGCCTTGGTCACTGCCCCTCCCAAACTAACTCAATCGCAGTTGATCTATCTACAAGAGGCATATAAAAATGCAACTATATCTTACCGACTGAAAGGCATTACTCGCCATGTGAATGACACATGGGCTCACAATCAAGATGAAATCGCCATGAAGAAAGCTCTGCGCAAAGGGAGTTACAGCACCCTTAATGTTTACTTTCAGACAGATCTCGAGGTGTCATCAGCTGGAAGTGCCCGGGTGTCGCATGACGGAGTTGCTCGACAGATGGATGCTCTATCGTCTAGCGTACTCGGATTCTGCACTTTGCCTGATCCAAGCATAAATGCAAGTAGTCCACGCTCCACTTACCTCAATGACGGTTGCAACGTGCTGGCCAAGACCATGCCTGGAGGTTCGCTGCAGCATTATAACCGAGGAGGGACTGCCGTCCACGAGATTGGGCACTGGAACGGGCTCCTCCACACATTTGAGGGAGACACTTGCTCCTCCAGTAGCGAGGGTGACTATATAGACGACACCCCGCAGCAGTCTGAACCAACGAACGGATGCCCGGCTCAAAAAGATTCCTGCCCAGACCTTCCTGGTCTCGACGCCATTCATAACTTCATGGACTATTCATCAGATGAGTGTTACGAGAATTTCACACCAGATCAAGTTCAGAGGATGAGAAGCATGTGGTCCACCATGAGGGCAGGGAAGTGAGAAAGTGGGGGTCAATCCGGATCTCGTGCATGAGCTGTATGAGAATCACCGCCTTCTGGGAGAAGAGGATTTTAGATTGGCCACGCATTTAGCAATGACATTACATCTGAATCACGCACGCATAGGAACACGAGACCACCGATTGTGGCAACTCTCTCACACTAATACTGCATGACGAAAATTCCAAGCATGATATCAAAAGCTGTAATAAGGCTGCACACTGTTCTGAAAGTAATATCTGGTCGCAGTAGTCTGTTGTCCTCAAGCCAACGAGCTAGTAGGTAGTCGTGCCGAAGCTGCAGATCCATCCCGACTATCGCTTCCGCTTCTTGCCCCGCTCCTCATCGTCCAAACCGCCATCTCTATCCTTCTTCTTCGCCTTGAGTTCCAACTCGTCCCAATCCTCGCCACTCTCTTCGTCTGCGCTGAAGTCGTCGCTTGCCTCAGCACTAGCATCATCATCAAATTCGCTATCGTCTTCCGAACTTTCGTCCGCGGCCGCGAGCTCTGATTCAGAGAGCTCAAACGCAGACTCCTCTTCCTCATCAGAGCCGCCCTCAGAGTCAGACTCTGCCGCCAGGAACGACCAACCTCCATCAGCAAAGAATCCATAAGGATCACTTACCACCGTCTTCATGATGGTGGTCCAGTTCAAGTTCAAGGGACCCTCTGTGAAAGCGAGATCAACAGAGTCGAGCCAATCCTTCACACTTTCCAACGACTCAACAGGGATCGTATTGATGTGAACAGGCGCCCGGTGGAAGTCTTTGAAAACAAAGACAAGGTCAAAGTTTTTAAGTCCGAACTATAGAAATATTAGGACTGAACGATCCAGCGGGGGAACTGTAACTTACCTGTACTCTTTCTAGGTGAGCAATTTCAACCTCATTGAGAGTGATTACTAGGAAAGGAGGCTCAGTCAATTGGACAAGAGCGTCTGTCGTGGGTTGGATCAAGACGTTTGACCGATTGGGAACACCAGTAAAGCCAATTTCTCTGAACGGGATGTCAACGTCGACACCTTCATCCTTGCCAGCATCTGCAATCTTTTCAGCAAATGCCTTGAATTCGCGGTCCAATGCTGCCCGTCGACGCCGCTCTTCTTGTTCGGCCTCAAATTCCTCTTCATCCCCGTAGCGATGTTTACGTCTGCGGTTTCCAGTCTCATCAAACTGCATCTCAGTAGCTTCTCTGTAGAACTGCACATCCCTGGTCTTTCTCTTTCCTATTAATATCGGCGTCTTGAGATGAACGTGTATCAACACGATCAGCTCATGTGCGCATGGTTGGAAGAAAAGATGCTTCACATTGCTAAAAAGTACGTCAACGTGTTCGTTGCGGAAGGGTGACATATATCGAAGACCATTTTGATGTATTTCAACCTCACCAGGAACCCGCTTCCCGTCCAAAGGAGGCCGAAGATAAACGTCGGGTAATTTGACGGGGCGACGATCTGGAAAAATGTTATCCTTGATACTGGTGGGGTCGATATGCGCGATTCACTTACTCCTAATTTCAACCAGCTTGTCCTGCTCCACCACATCCTCCATTTCCTTCTTCTCTTGCTCGCGTCGCAGAGCATTTTTGCGAAGCTCGGTTATGTCTTGAGCGACTTGAGCAAGTCGATTGTTATCCTTGGATCGAAGAGTCAGGTTTCGAAGGAAATGTGCTGAAAGATCTTCAAAAGGCTGGTCATCCTTTCTGCCAACGCCTTGGCCTGGTGACAGAAAGTTGATCCTCAGATAGGCATATTCCCCCTCGTCACTTTTACTGGCATTTTTGATAGTATTGATATGAAAGGGGACCGGTCGGCCCATGATGGGGACAATCACGGTTGAGGCCTTGTGGTCGACATAAATAGTGAGGTCTTTCACTCTTGTGGGCAGTTGGTTATCCCTTTTGTAGGACTCGAATCTCTTGAACTTTTTGTGTGTGACCCCATTGTCATCTCCCGTGGTGCCCGCAAACCTGTCCAGGCCTTCTTTTGTTTTCTTGGTGGCCAGTTCCTTCTGATGCTCACGACGCCGTGCTTCTGCGCCCTCATTGATTTGTGTTGGTCGTTCGGCACGTAACTTTGTTCGGGTGACATTCCTGCTAGCAACAGCACCCGATTTCACCTCCTTCTTCTCCTTGACGGGCTTTTCAGATTCTTCCTCATCTCCAAAATAGAAGGAGACCGAGTCCATGTCAACTCCAGCATCTTTCGTGAACACAAGTGGCCCGTTCTCTCCGACACGGACTGTATCTGTAATGACCATTGAATAAATGGAGTTGCTCCGATCCTTGGCGTTGGAATCCTCGACATCAGTCAGCCCAACTGTAACAGAGAATGTCATGCCACTTCTCAATATCTTGTCGTTCTTCCCGTTCAGAAGCATGTTAGAGTCACGGAGCTCGATTCCCACACCAGCACCAACGGACTTGACAAAGTGCGTTTCGAGCTCTGGCTTCTTGGCCCGGACTAGACTGATAGCTTTGTTGTATAAATCCTTAGCCACTGTACCCTCGCGGAGATCTTTGATAACCACATCGCGAACATTCAGAAGGAAAGCGTAGTTTGCCTCTTGAGATTTGCTTGGGTCGACTAGATATGTGCGCGCAATTAGTGAACTGTAAGTTCTATAGCGAATCCCAAATCCAGCGACGATGATCCCTGGTTGAAGATTGTGGTTGTCTGAAGTTGCTGTGAGTCTGAGGTCATATTTGCCTCCACTTTGTACAACCGGGCCATATGCCCAATCGATCTGTTGAGGATCAAATTCAGTTGGAAGTTTCGCTAGCTTATTGAAGAATCTGGCGTCGTCTATCTTCGCGTCAATTTTCATGGCGAGAGCCTTATGGGTCATCTGCTTCTCTTCGTCCAGCAGACGAGACATTTCATCCACAAAATATTCGGCCATCAAGCCACTACACGCCCTTGACGCATTTCGGATGGATACCTTCATATCGGTTAATGAGTTTTTGTCAACCATCATGACACAGCTTTGAGTGACTGACCAGCTCATCTGTATCTTTGACTGCAAAGGCGGCCGATAGAGCGCCCGAAATGTCAACTTCTTCCAGTTCCCCAGCGGCTGCCGCGTAAACCCGCCGCCAGTCCTCAGAAAAAGGACCGGAGGCTGTATCCTTGGGCAGAATACCGACTTTCTTCTGTGACAGCGCATGGTATCTTAGTAATCCATATCCATCACAGCAAAGGTGGCATGACTCACACCGGCTGTCTTGATAACCTCGATGCACTTCTCAAATGATTTTGTCTTCTCTTCTGGATCCTTTGAGGTCACCAAAATCTCTACTGAGATTTTGCCCCCCTTCAACGGCTCAAGGTGCTTGGCTATATGTTGACACCCTTGTTAGTGGAACATCCAAAAACATTACGGCACAAACGTATTTTTCAAATTAGTGGAAGCACCTACCTTTCTTAGCAGTAGTCACAACATATACAACGTCAGTTGTGAAAACTAGTAGGGTCGCAGGGAATTCGTAGCCCAGGAGCCAGAACTAAATACCCTCAGGTTAGCATGCTGCCAACAGATTGTCCACCTCAGCAATAACTTACATGCATCGCATTGTTCTTTTGGAAGCTGTTAGCCTCGTCTGTCTTTCCCATGAGGATAACAATGGATGAAACTCCACCGAAAGTGGCATTGTTTGAGCGTCTATCTGCCTTCCATGCCGAATAGAAGCTTGTAAGTCGGTTAAAGAATGCATTCTTGTCAATCACAATCTCTTCCGCCATGATGCGAAGTTGCCAGTGGCGCAGGCTAAGGCTTCGCCGTAGCAGCACACGGTTATACCTAGAACCCTTGGCGAAACTGAAAATGGAAGTTTTAGGAGGTAAATGATTGCAGTGACAGCTGAAGCAAGAGAAGTTGCAGACTATAGTAAGAAAGATCTGATGCCGCGAGCGTTGAGAGAGACTATACCGTAAGAAGATCGAAAGAAGGTGTTGAGATAGCAAATGAGCATTTAATTACCAGTCCCGAAGAAACCTAGACGCAACCTAACGCGAACTGGAGCGCGTTTTCGCTGTGCCAAGGAAATGATGAGTAAGGCATGTTTAGGCTGTTTGTTTTCTCTCTACTCGGTACGCATCGTTGTTTGTGTTTTATGTATCTTATGACTACTATAAGCAGTGTCGAACGTATCTTTACCAATATCTCATCGGCCTTCTCATTTATACCCCTCCACAGGTCTCTTATGTTTGGGAGCCTCGAAGCTTTCCGCCTTAAGAAGATTTAAATAGTCTCTCGACAATTTGTCATACTCTTGGTCACCATACAAAATGCACATATGACCGAGTCGTTCCTTGCAAGCCCCTGTCAATCTGCCATGCTTTCGTCTTAACCGTTCATGCTTTCCTGCAAATCTCTCAGAGCCGAGTCTGTGAGGTTCCTTTTTCGATTCCCTTCTTTTCTTTGAACGTTCAGGATGGCAAATGATTCATTACATGCTCCGACTGACCAAGTGAGCACTGATGACTCAATCTCTCGAAGAAAACCCCGACACAATGCTGCAACCGGTGCTTCTGCTGCTGGAATTCGCGCCTTGAGTGCGCAGCTTGTTGCCTTCTACTTCAGAGCACCTATAAAATCATTTTTCCGCACGCGTGTTGAGTATGAATTCCAGCTTCACCTCAAAACACATTTAAAATATGTTGACAAGCCTTGTTTACAGCTATATGGTGGGTAGCTTGGCCCTCCTCGCCCTCTTTTTCTCGAAACCCTCGCTAATCATTCTCGGCTCCTTCTTCGACTCGGGAAGGCATTTGCAAGGGCTGTTAATCCCCATTCATCAAAATCTGGCTGGTCCTTGCATACGACCACACCAGGCCTTCTGATGCATGCTGTTCGCACATATGGGTGGCGCTTCATTCCCAATCAAGTTATGCCCCCTTTATTGGCGAATGCTGGGTGAGCTGCTTAGATTGTTATGGCATTTGTGCGTAATATCTGACTACTACTCCAGAGTTGGCGCCATACTTTACACATCATACCTTCAAGTTCTTGGAAGTCTCAACGAGTCCGTGTCGCAAGGAGTAAAGCGTATATACCCGCCTCCTCCGCCTTCAAATACCTTCACAGCCGGCTTTATAGCTGGAACTGTTCAGTCAATAGTCGCCGCGCCCCTTGATGCTCTCCAGGTCCGTCTACGAACAAATGATTTGCTTGAAGGCCAGTACCGGAGTATGTGGCATTATGGTTATCAAAAGCTCACCCAGATCGGAGCGCGGGGTATATTTGCTGGTTGGAGTATTTCCTTCTTGCGTGATTCCCTGGGGTATGCTTTCTTCTTTTCATCCTTTGAGTTCGTGAAATCTCAGGCGTACTATTCATTTATTACGTGGTACTATGGGTCTTTGCATACTTCTAGTCCGCATCGATTGCAGCCTTTTCAGTCTAGCGATCGCGGTGTTCCGCTCATCAGACCTCATTATGCACTGGAGCCATGTTTTTTAATGGCCGCTGGTGTGATAGCTTCAGTGGCCCAACAAAGCATACAACGACCGCTGTCGGTCATCCAAAGCATCCATGTTTCTCGCTTGGAAATCCTTGACCACCAAGCTAGTCTCTATCCATCGAGGCGAGAAATGCTACGTCTATACTATCATGCCTATCAGGAAACGTTGAGAAGATGCAGGCGAAAGGCATCCAGAGCTGGAGGCTGGAGGAAGTGGCTCTTTCGTGGATTTGCCAGAGATGCTATTCGCCAGGTGCCCAGCACAAGTGCCGGACTTGTGATTTTCGAGCTGGTGCGTCGTAAATATGCCTACATGTCGGACACTGCATATATCGAGCGGGATGGGTATGACATTCTGCTGCCGTGAAAGAACAAAGATACCATTTCTGCCACTCTCCTTTGTCATCGGTATATCTATCATGTGCCTCTTCTTGGAAAGCTTCACCTATACCCCATACCCCTTCCCCTAATCATCTTGGCCTTATTCTACCGAAGTCTCAGTGCTTGAATGGAGCCCATGTCACCTACCGAAACATTTCATGAACTGCTTCGCTAAGCACAGACCCAGGCCAATGACATAGGTTTATCTACGTAGAGAAGAAGGGCTGTGACCCTTTTCGATCATGATCCAATGAATTGTCCATCCATTGAAAGATTTTTCTGGCTTTAAAAACACCATTGTATACGGATTGGTATGTCCAGTTTTCCATCTTGTTCAAGTCATTTCTAGGTAAGTGGAAGCTTCTCGCAGCAGAGTCAATATCACAATCTAGGAGATATGGTATTCGGATTTTGCATAGAGGATGTTCATGGGACGTGTCAATATCTGTTAAGGTCTTTTTTCTCTTATGTTCAGCGAAGCAAAAAGGCTCTTGTCGAGTGGTAGCAGCGTCTTGCCGCTGAATTTGGACTTTGGTAGTATCTTTTATTGCTGTGTCAGGTGAAACACTCCTAGACTACAGAATACTCCGTACCCACACTTGATCCGGATGCTGGAGTTTTACGGTTCGAAGTACTTAGTAGAACGCCAGTCTACAGTAGTACTTTGTTTGTGGGGAATTGCTATTAGGGGTGATCAGCAACCGTGACCAAGCCCAGCCCCAAACTAAATAGGCTTAGCGCGTGTAAATCACGAAGGCGGTCATCACTTCAATGGGTGGGTCTTGGTCACCCCTGCCCAAAGTCAGAAGTAGTTTAGCCTTACAACTAAACTTAGATAGGAAACCACTTGGCTCCGCCGCGGGCGCCTGCAGCGGGCGCCCGGTCCGGTACTATCTGGATTTAATTCTGATTTATAAGCTGTTTTGTAAGTGCTCGGTAACGTAATCGGTAAGCGAGTGGTCCATGTAGGCGAGTGGCCCAGCTCCGTATTCCATATAAAATAGCTATATCCAAAAGCTAAATATCTCAACCATTTCTTATATATATCTTGTAAAACTTAGAATCAAGCTTAATACTACTATAGTTATCTAGTATAGCCTAGAAAAAACCTGATATATACTTTAATTACCTAAATACATATATAAGTTTTGTATTTTTTTTGTAATTTAATATAAATTCTAAATATTTCAAGAAATATGATTTTCTAGTCTTTAAAAAAGATACTATATATAGAAGATATACTTGAATAATGTATTCAAGTTTTATATTCTTAAGTATTGTAGTTGTTGAGATATTCAGCTTTGAATAATAACTATTTTATAAGGAATACGGAGTTGGGCCACTCGCCTACATGGACCACTCGCTTACCGATTACGTTATAATATATAACCGATTCCGCCAGGCAGACCGGTGGTCTTGGGCTTGGGCTTGGTCACGGTTGCTGACCACCCCTATGGACACACGGAGTGTATGTCCAATACGACGAGATCTAAGGCGGTCATACAGGTCGTAGCGTGCAACAAGGCTTGAAAATACTCGGTAAGGGGGCGGTACCGGGGTAAGTGTACAGTACGTTAGTACCGTATCCACTTCCACTGCAAAGAAGCGCGGATACGCCGGGTAATCGACGTAATGCTACTCCGTAGATACCAACCACCTGTCCACGTCGGCTTGCGGGGTTTCCTCCACTCCTCAATGACAACAGCCGTCAAAGTTCCAATCGGTAGCCTTGCATTTGTTCTCTGTACGCAGTATCCTGCTCAGTGGGACTAGTATGATCCGTATCAAAAATAATATACTGTCTTATGTGCAGATTTCCATCCATTGACCTCGTGCCAGCCTCTTGGTTGTCTTACTATCCATCCGCCTGACCCTCCTTGGCCGTCACGCCCCGGACTCCGTCACTCTGCGTCGATCAACCAAGTTGGCAATTGTCTCGTGAGCAAGCAGCCTTATGACCGCTATCATCAGCGCATCACCTCTCCGCCCACAACAAGTCTCCTTGCACTTGAATATCCAGACTCGCTCGCTTAAGTCGAGAGACCCTGGCGTTTCCTTCACGTCCTATTACGTTGTTCTGTTATTCTTATTGTTTGTGCCGCTCGTACCTTACTCTAAGCGTCGCCTTACCACATCCCTTCTTTCAGCAAAGGAAGCACGGCGGTTGCGCACCTACATTTGTCGGCGCCGCCTGACACCGCTCTTTGTCACAGTTGACCGAAGTGGTGACAGCCGATCAGTCAAATATATTGCAAGACGGAGGAGAAGAGGATTGACTGTCCGGGGTAAAGGGGCTGCCAGGTCCAGCCCACTATAACCGCCAACATTCCTTCTAAAACATCCCAACAGCATACTCCTTCGAGCATACCCTTGCGGTACCTTCATTCTCAATCGCGACTTTCCGCTGCAGCGTTGGGCAACGTAGGGCAGTTCACGGCTGAGGGGGCTAGTCGGCGTTATTCGCTATCATCGGACCACTCCTCAGAGTTTATTTGGACCGATAGTGGCGATCTGGCTGAACAGCCTGCTGATGCAGAAAACTCTACACAATCCAATTTTTGGAAGCCGACGGATTTAGATACCTCTGGGTCAACTGAGCCCGAGGAGCGACCCAAGCAGTCAAAGCGTGTTCGTGTATTAGACCAGCCTTCTATTGGCGGTCTCGCAACCGAGAAGACATCGATCGAGATACCCCAACCACCACCCAGGCGGATTCCACGAGCGGAACGTATACTAGCAACCATAATGTCCCCGAACAATCGTCAAAATGCCCAGATGCATGGTTTAGTTGGCAAACCTTTGCTGTAAGACGTTTCACTTCGAGTTTTGAACCGTTGTTATGCGCTGAGCTGATGTCGTGTAGGTATTTCACAAGCGTTTTCGTATCTTTAGGTGTCTTCCTGTTCGGCTACGACCAAGGAGTGATGTCTGGTATCATAACGTATGTCACGCTTATATCGAGCAGTCCAATTTCAAACGGCGGTAGCTGATGCAACACAGAGGATGGTATTTCAAGGACTATTTCAATCAACCCTCACGAGCGGCAATCGGTACAGTTGTCGCGATTCTAGAAGTGGGGGCATTTATTTCATCCCTACTTGTTGGACGAGTTGGTGATTTGATCGGCCGTCGCAAGACTATCCTTTACGGGTCAATCGTCTTTTTCATTGGTGGCGCTTTCCAGACGTTTGCGACAGGATTGCCTATGATGATGGTCGGCCGTATCATCGCAGGATTAGGCGTTGGAGCACTCTCTACAATTGTGCCGGTTTATCAGTCTGAGATTTCGGTGAATACGACCATCGATCCGCCTCAAGCGCTCATACAAACATACTGACAGCTTCTCAAACAGCCTCCCCATAACCGCGGAAAGCTAGCGTGCATTGAATTTACAGGGAATATATCCGGCTACGCTGCTAGTGTATGGGTTGACTACTTCTGCAGCTTCATAGATAGCAACTACTCTTGGCGTCTCCCATTGCTCTGTCAATGCATTATGGGCGCTTTGCTTGGCGTGGGAAGTTTGATCATTTGTGAATCCCCCAGGTGAGCTTGCACAAATTCACGTGTGCCCTACATACTTTTCTCACATCAGATCAGATGGCTACTAGATAACGATTTCGACGAGGAAGGGATGGTTGTTATCGCGAACCTATATGGTAAAGGCGATTTGCACAATGACAAAGCCAGACAAGAATACAGAGAGATCAAGATGAATGTCCTTCTTCAACGACAAGAGGGCGAAAGATCCTACAGCGACATGTTTCGGCGTTATTATAGACGGGTATTGATTGCAATGTCAGCGCAGGCATTGGCTCAGCTTAACGGAATTAACGTTATTTCCTACTACGCCCCACTCGTTTTTGAATCAGCAGGGTGGGCTGGCCGCGATGCTATCTTAATGACCGGCATCAATGCCATATCCTATCTTGCTTCCACGGTCCCTCCGTGGTATCTTGTCGACCGCTGGGGAAGGCGGCCTATCCTACTCTCAGGGGCAGTGGCTATGATTGTGTCTTTGTCCTTGATCTCGTATTTCATTTATATAGATGTCACGGCAACACCAACGCTAACCGTCCTATTTGTCATGATTTACAATGCCGCTTTCGGTGCGTCATGGGGCCCTATACCATGGCTCTACCCCCCCGAGATTTTGCCCTTGAGCATTCGTGCAAAGGGCGCCAGTCTTAGTACCGCTGCAAATTGGGCCTTCAACTGGCTGGTTGGGGAAGTCACACCTGTCCTTCAAGCCGCGATCAAATGGCGTCTCTATCTGGTCCATGCTTTCTTCTGTGCATGCAGCTTTGTACTAGGTCAGTACCTCCTTTGCTCTCGCTCAATTGCGGTCTGCCTGACAGTCACCAAACAGTATATTTCCTATATCCTGAGACAAGTGGGGTCAGATTGGAGGATATGAATCTCTTGTTCGGCGATGCGACTACTTCTATGCCAACTCCAGCGACCCAAGCGGAGCGTGGCTCCTTGATGAGTGCTGGCTCTCCTGTGCCTTCATTCGATATTAGGCGGCAATATGGTCACTTGGGAGCGGATAATGCTATCCCTGGACTAGACATTGATCCACCCAATATGAACCCTACTGCCTATAACAAGTCTGTTAGATCTGGTGATCCGGAGGATCATGTTAGTCGACCAGAGGGATTTGGTGGCTGGATTTCGAATATGATCTCTCGTCACAAGGGATCTGGTTCATCGGCACAAAATAACCAGTATAGCCGTCTTGGGCAAGAGGAAGAGAATGACTAAGGCAGTCATTGTATTCCTAGTGCTATCGCTCAAGTAGACTTCGGCCTTGCCCTCCATTTGAATTTTGTTTCAGCCATATGCGGATTTGCTGTTCTTTGTCATCTACCTTGCTCTGCGCTGGAGGTGTTTCTGTTGTTAGAGGCCTTTGATTTGTATCTGTACTCATTTCAACATTCATGCTTTCAACCTTTGGGGATATAATCTCAGGCTACGGTACCCAAGTCACGAGTCAGATACAAGTAAGACACTTGTCAATGTAGTCCACGTATGTAAGTAGTCCTGGAAGATACTGCATCCGTCGATATATGCACTTGAATTCGGCTAGTAGCAGTCAGCATGGAAGTCGGAATATATGAGCAACCTATGAAACAATTGCAGAAAACCAGATTTCAAGGTTCTCCAGTGTTGGGAACATGATTGATATCATCAACCAGCTTTTACAATAATAGATATTACTGATGAATCTAGACTGGCTTGGCTCCCTGTCCTCAGATTTAGCCCCATTTGGGTGGGGCGGAAACATAGGTGCAAACGTGCGCCCGGGCTTTCCATGTTAACTCCAGGCCAACTCTCACTTTCACTTGAGCATCCTGTGCTTTGCTCTATGCCTCTCTGCCCTTCGTCCTTTCCTTCAACCTTCTCTTCATCCCACTATTTCATTCAGTCAAGACTCAATCCCTCGATTTTGACCCTTCTATTCTCTGATAAATAGCTCAGTCCACGTCCACTTGCTTCTTAGGATTCTTCTAAAATCTCACTTCCTCTTCCGATCATCTATCGAAGGAACATTTCCATTTTCATTCACCAGCAAAGCTACTATCTTGCATCCACTCTCTACTCATATGAAGCTTATCATCCACTTGCGGTCAACGACCTATATCTTGTCTTAAAACAAGTCCTCGAATCTTAATCCTCACTGGGCTGACTGTGCTACGTCAAGATTTACCAAGTCGGTCTCTTTACCTGCACCAGCTTCGGCGTCTGCACCCGACCCCTTTTCCATTCATTCTTTTGGTTACTTTCATCCTCCCGAGTTATGGCAGAAATTACTGGTTCAAGTACCGGCGCCAGTATTGCACCTGATATAAGGCGCAGAACTACCGCGCGCGCGGGGAAGTCGGATGTTGTGTCAAACCAAAATTACACTGATGCAGTAGAAGTGAAATACAAGGTAAGCGTTATCCTTTGCTTGCTGAACATTTTGAATCAATATACATCATTGATCACTGGCTAATAAATATTATACGAGATATAGCCTCGGCCAATTTCTGACTTTACTTACTGGGAGCCTGTCATCGCACCACTGCTGCTCACAGCTTTGTCAATCTTCACCCGTATGTACCGCATTGGACGCTCCAACATTGTCACATGGGATGAAGCACAGTAAGGAACTCATTTTCTTGAAGTAAGCTTGAACTGAACTAATCTCTTTCTTCTCGATTTTCAGCTTTGGCAAGTTCGGGTCGCACTATTTGAAGCGCGAGTTTTACTTCGATGTTCACCCACCATTAGGCAAGATGCTCGTCGGACTATCTGGCTATCTCGCCGGTTACAACGGTTCCTTCGAATTCAAATCTGGAGAACAATACCCTGAGGATGTCAACTACACCTTTATGCGTGTATTCAATGCTGCCTTCGGTGTGGCTTGCGTCCCCCTGGCATACTTCACCGCTCGTGAGCTTGGTTTCCGCCGAGCCACGGTCTGGCTTATCAGTCTGATGGTGCTTTTCGAGAATTCGTACGCCACCATTTCGCGATTTATTTTGCTCGATTCTATGCTGCTATGCTTTACTTTTACAACCACCCTATGCTGGGCAAAATTCCACCGACTCCAAAAAAAGAGCTTCTCCTTCGAATGGTTCACGTGGCTTTTGCTCACTGGCGTGAGCATTGGTTGTGTTTGCAGCGTCAAATGGGTTGGATTTTTCTGCACAGCGATCGTAGGGCTTTATACGGTTGAAGACCTCTGGAACAAATTCGGTGATGTGAAGATGCCCAAGGTACGTTGAATTCACTCTTCACAAACCCGAACGTATACTAAACATCTGACAGGATGTATTGGTGAAACACCTACTCGCCCGCATAGCTGGCTTGATACTTGTGCCATGTCTTGTTTACATTCTCTCGTTTTACGTCCATTTCTGGATCTTAGAGAATAGTGGCCCTGGTGACGCGCAGATGAGTTCCCTCTTCCAGGCAAATCTCAAGGGAACTGAGGTCGGGCAGGATAGTCCTCTTGAAGTCGCACTTGGCTCGAGGGTTACATTGAAGAACATGGGCTATGGAGGTGGCCTGTTGCATTCGCATGTTCAGACCTACCCTGAAGGTTCTGCTCAACAACAAGTCACTTGCTATCACCACAAAGATGCGAACAATGACTGGTTCATTTATCCGAACCGCCAGGAGTTGGGATATGATGCTAATGGCCCATTGAGATTCATCGGCAACGGCGATGTGATACGCTTGATCCATGGGCAAACAGGCCGAAACCTGCACTCGCATGCGATTTCAGCACCGGTAACCAAAAGCCATTACGAAGTATCTTGCTATGGCAATATCACCATCGGGGACGACAAAGATCATTGGGCGATTGAAGTCATAGATGATGTCGCTTCCAAGGACAAGAGTAGAGTTAGAACACTTACGACAGCCTTTCGGTTGAAGCACCCCGTTTTGGGTTGCTACCTGAGAGCTGGCAATGTCAATCTACCACAATGGGGCTTCAAGCAGATTGAGACCACCTGCGTTAAGGAGAATAGGCCTAATGATGTCTATACTCACTGGAATGTCGAGTCTCACTACAACGAGAGACGTGAGAACACCCCACTCCCGATATTACGTTATTCAGTCATGGGAATAACCCGTTTGCTGATTATGATATCTAGTCCCGCCAGGTGATCCTGGTTCCTACAAGTCGCCGTTCTGGAAAGACTTCATTCATTTGAATGTTGCAATGATGACATCTAATAATGCACTGGTTCCTGATCCCGACAAACAGGACGATCTCGCCTCAAAGTTCTGGCAGTGGCCCGTCTTGAATGTTGGGCTCCGCATGTGCTCCTGGGACGACAGTACTGTCAAATACTATCTTCTCGGAAATCCTTTCGTTTACTGGGGCAGTAGTGCCAGTCTGGCTGCCTTTGGGTTCCTAGTTCTTTGGTACCTTGTGCGCTGGCAGCGAGGTTACAATGAGCTCTCACAAACGGAAATTGACCATATACATTACTCAGGCATATACCCCGTTATTGGATGGATTCTGCATTACTTACCTTTCGTGGTTATGGCACGGGTGACTTATGTCCATCATTACTATCCGGCTCTATACTACGCCATACTCACATTCGGATTCTGTATCGACTGGTTTACCCGGGCAGTCAATGATAAGCTACGTGGGGCGCTATATTCGGTGCTTTATCTTATGATATTCGGGATGTTCTTATACTTCCGTGTTATTGTATTCGGCATCGAGGGTCCTAGCCATGATTGGAAGCATTTGAATTGGCTTAGTGGGTGGAAAATCGGTAATTGAGGGGCCAGTCCTCTCATCCCAATCACTTCCCCTTCCTAGGGCCAGTTAGCCTGTTTCTTTGCTCCATCGCTTTCTGTGATCCATGGCCCACCAGCATCCACTTGGACGCCTACATCTTTTTGTAAGGAAATGAAATGACCTTTGATATATCTCTTATCGGACATCGAAATCTCGGAAGGAGTGTCCTCGAACTTGGCATGCCTGGATAGTTTTGTTCCGGAGTGTGGTGTCACCTCCAGCCGATAGTGGCCGGCTGTTTGTTTGGCCCGTTCGTATTTTAATGGGTAAGCCGATGACTTTCCATACGTGGACAGCTTATGTGGCATTTTAGTTGTGAGCAGTTCCCAATTTGATATAATATCGAAACGCTTAACTAGATAACAATAACTGCACATTCCTTCTTAAATTGTATACAATCCAATATCTCTAGTCTGTGAAGCAATTAACGCTATTGGTTTATATTGATTATATGAAAACATGTTCGCTCCAATGATATAAGCGTTCGTATAGGTAGAATAACCAGTATAATCAACCAAGTATGTAGATGACACAAGAACAGGTGTTGGCATGTGAAAAGCAACTGTAGACATTAAAATTTGCGGTCTACATAACACAGCAGAACTCTACTTAGGCCCGCTGAGAATGTTACAAAGAGGTACTCATCAACTACCTGAAAAGTAGGCATGAATATAATAAACAGGCGGTAAAGGCGGAAATAACGTGACTACTTAGACAAGTATTTACCGTGGGTAGGTTCAGCTTTTTAGCTAATTCGAAAGCTATAATTGTGTTCTAGGCGCCTCCGGTCTACCGTACCGGCAACCTCCCAATCACTTCGGCCTGCCCGAACCTCCTTGAAATGGATATCTGCTCACCACTTACTTCTCTTGACGTACACATGTTCTTGCTTCGAGTAGCTATTATATAATGATAAGTTTAGAATAAAGTAAGAGTCATAATATACCAGTAAAAGTACTAGCAAATCATCAAAAGATCAGATAGTGTGACTATTTTCTATGAGATTCTCTTAATTAGGCCTAGCTTAGTCTCTTGGGGTTTAGTGAGCTGTGTTTAGGTGGGATCAATGCATGGTGCCGTCCAAACAGTTATCTATTCTTCAGGTGGAATCATGGATGAAGTTTATTATTCTTGTGTAACAGCTCTATTAGACACTACTGACCAAAAGAGCCTATCAAGCAGGTTCAACGCACATGAGCTTTAAAAACAAACCCGGCTGACTTATAACCACTCAATGATTAGCCTGACTAGTTTGATATACGAATCATGATGGCACACCACCGTACCAGTTTTGTCGTCTTTCGTCAAAACCGACTGCCTCGTTTCCTTTCCAGTAGGCAGTCTTCCACGCATGTGAAATAACCTGCCTCCCTTCAAAAATCACGCGACGTATAGATGTTTAGGGTCAATGATCGTGATACGCGTGTATATTGTGCAAGTAGTTCACATCATCCCGTGAATATAAGTGGCCAGGGTAGGCATTAGCAGCAACTGCCAACCAAACCATTTCCATTTTTGCGCATTGCATCGTTCAGGCCTAAGGTGACGGTTTTAGGAGCACCAGGATTTTGGCCCCCAGTAGCACCAAAGCCCTTGACCCCACTTCGGCGATCATGAAGGTCGTACTTACCAGCTTCAATGTTGCGGTAGATCTTTTCAGCCACCTCGAGAAACGCGCATTCGACATTGTCGCCAGATTTTGCACTCGTCTCGACATAATTCGCGACATTATTCAAGCGGCACCATTCTTCCGCTTCCTGCCTGGTAACCCTCCTTTGACTCGAAACTGAACCGTCGTCTGCAAGATCGCTCTTGTTTCCAACCAGTATAATTACAATGCCGTCTTCTGCGATTTGCCGTAGATCTTGGAGCCACTGTGTACAAGACAAGAAAGTGGAAGGCCTGGTGATGTCGAAAACCAGAAGTGCCCCAGAGGCACCACGGAAGTAAGAACGAGTTATAGATTTATACGTTTCCTGACCAGCCGTATCCCAGAGAGATAGCTTCATTCTCTTCTGATGCTCAGGTACCCTGCGAGGAGGACTAGGCAACCCGGTGGCAGTCGGTTCTTCAGAAATAGTGACAGGTACTTCTGAAGGGGTTGATGAAATAGACGGTGATGCCGTAAATCTGCGAGTATGGGCGTCAACTCCCAGTCCAAGGTTCTTTGACGCAGGAGGGCCGACTGGAACGATGCGAGAACCAAACTCCACGCCGATGGTAACGTCATGGGAGGATGAGAAGCGACCCTCGCAAAGCCGAATTGTCAACTAGACAGGGCGCTATATATCAGCGTCGTCAATCAAAGAGGTCAAATTTGTTATACCTACACTGGATTTTCCAGTTCCAGAGTCGCCAATGCAGACAAGCTTAGCGATGTAGTCCCATGGCTGTGACATGGGTATAGCAGAGCAAAGTAGCTCTGTGGTCAGGTACAGAAGCCTGTTTTGAGGTTCTAGGATGTCCGGTATATCAGACTCTTGAAGTCATGCTCCAGCTCTGGCTGTTGGAAAGGGCCCATCAGAAGGTTTAATTCTTTGAGGGTCGTTCGGCCGAGATCGCGACGCACACTTTGAAACCTTTCCTTTCAGAGAAGGATAGAGACCGTATGATGACCCAAGGCGGCTGTGGTGGTTGGCTTGAGTTCGAATTTCGAGCAAACAAGCGTTACTCAAAACTAGTAGTGCTGAGGTGCCATCTATCTATCCCGGTTTCGCACTAATACTAAACGGTTAATGCCTAAAATAGTGGATTACTGTAGTGGAGACTGGTGAGGAGATGAGGAGCTCTGGAGACGCGGGACATACGGAGCAAAGGACACTTACCATCTGTATCTGCTTGAGCCCCAAGGAGTCAATCTATATATCCTTTGAGTGCTACGTCAGGGTAGATAAGAGGGAGATTCCTCAGGTCGAATGACACCTCGCAGGACTAACTAGTGTAACCCTTGAGGTCTGCTGAGTCATCTGTTACATGACCTTGTCCATATGACGCTGGCATTCAAACGCCCAACGCTGTCCCAGTTCACCATCCATTGTTTGTCCTTCTCTACCTCTCTCTATGCTTGGTTCCTGCTGTCAATACACGAGGTTCTTGGATGGTCTCTCTCCACCAATTCTCTATCACTTATGTAGCCGTTTCTCGTCAAGCGACTATTCGTGAAACAAGGTCTCGAAAGAGCTCACCGCTACATTAGTTAACTATTCTTTCAGCGAGTGTGAATTACAACACAGTATCTGCCTCACTTTTGGTGCAAAGCAACAAGAACGAACGGGACATCAGAAGAGAGAAGAGGTCCAGACCCAGCCAAAGTGTGAATCCGCCATGTTTTCTGAATGTACGATCCCTGGAGCTATGCTAGAAGCTGTATTGTGCCACTTCTTGAACACCTATGTTGATAACGTGGTCAGATGCCTCCCGCTTCCTTGCACAATCACAATCCCGGTTGGTGACGCATTCCGAAGACGTCCGCAGACAGGGCCATGGACATTTCATTCACCAACCGGGAAATCTCCGTTCACCCCAATCACGGTCTTTTTTGCAACGAACGGCCATTGATCCGTATCAAACTGTCGCTTCGCAGGTCTCAAATCTTGCGCGAAACCCGACACAGCAAGCACCTCTGTTCTATAGTGCCACAGACGAATTTCGGGAGGATGATGATGAAACTGAGCACGAGCGGGAGATTGCGGACTTCTATGCCCTGCAGAAATCACGACGAGTGTTGGAAGTCAACCATCTTCAAGAGTCTTCAGAGAATGATGATGATGATAAATCCCCCTCCACTATAGAAGAATCTGTTACCCATCATACCTATCGAGAAAGCTTCAAAGGTAAGGGTATTTGGAGCTCGTGGCGTGAAAGCAGCCCCACCCAGAAATCACAAAGACCCCAGAACGGCAATAGGTTACTGCGAGCTGAACCTGGGCGTGATATGCAGACTAAGTGGATGGGATTTCAGCGAGGAGAGAATCTCGTTGATGTTCGTTTAGAAGACACACTTGGATCGAGCATCATTTCTGACGGAGAGTCCCCTGAGATAGGCGATGACAACCCGCCCTCGATCCAGCGATTTCGAGAACAGCCAAAATCCCGCATGGGTAATCTTGGGATTACTCCAACTATCACGCAATCAGGGTCAGACGCCGCCGAAGCGCCCGAAGGTTGTCTACAGGAGAGTCCGCTAGCTTCATACGAAGCGCCTACCGTGTCGGTTAGGGTTCGCTCGCCTGTCTATGACGCTTTCTGGGCCCAGCTGTTCCTGATATTTATTGCTTGCCTCTTTGCAACTTCTTTTCTTGTTTATCTACATACATCCGCTCCCCCTGATTTCCCGAAATGGGGCGATACGGTGTATTCGACTATTCACAACTCGTTTTTCAGGCTGGGGGTTTTCACTGTGGTCTCAATATTCCTGTCTCTGCTTTGGCTCGCGCTGCTACGGTCATATGTACGCCCCCTGGTCTATGTCGTCTTATTTGCCGTTCCGGCAATTTTGTACTTCTTCTCACTCTATCCCTTCATCTCGAGTTTTCGTGGCTCTTGGCATGGAGCAAGCATCCAGGATAAAGCCATGAGGTGGCTATCAGTTATCCCTTTCGTGATAGCAAGTGCCTGGATTTTTAACGTTATACGGAGCCGTCGAGCGATAGGTAAAGCAGTAGGCATACTTGAATTTGCCTGCCGTATCCTTGCCGCAAACCCCGAGCTTTTGGTTCTTGGCGTCTGCATCCTCTTGCTTATTGTCGCATGGACATGGGTTTGGATGCTCATGTTCACGCGTGTATTCCTAACGGGACACATCTCCGGATCTTTGCTCTTTTTCATGGATCCGAGCAGTTGGTGGCTGGGAGTCTACTATGTAATAGTCTATTTATGGTCGTTGGGAGTTGTCGCTGGCGTTCAACGTACGGTCACGGCTGCAACAGTGAGCCAGTGGTATTTTCACAGGTTGACCACGCCCGCGCCAGCATCTAGGCTAATAGTTCGAGCCGCTACCCATCATTGTCTCACAACATCTTTCGGCACGGCTTGCTTGTCTAGCCTTCTGGCCCTGTTGATTCGGCTTCCGCTTCTGCTACTTCCACATCGGATCTCTTCTGTTCTCAGTCTCTGTGCCTATTCCTTTGTTCCGACTCCGTTGGCTACTATCACAAATCCCCTGGCCCTCACCTATGCTGCAATTCATTCTCAACCGCTTACTGTATCGGCCCGTGGTCTGATGCAAATGACAAACCTTGCACCGTCGGTAGCCATCTCACCTATCCACCCACGGTCTTTCACCTGGTCTCGCGAAACCTCTGCAGCGCTTATCTCGTATCGGCTATCGAAACTTATCCTTCATGCCGCTCGCCTTATCATGTCACTAGCGCTTGGCTTTGGAGGTTGGGTCAGTACTGCACGGAACTATCGCGTGCCAAGTGACCCTGGTGTGGTTCGCGGCAGTCTGTATGCTTACATGGTAGGGCTAATTGCTGGAACGATTGGTTGGAGTATCTTGGGTGCCATCGAGAGTGTCATCGCTGATATTGTTGATGCGTCTCTCATCTGCTGGAGTAGTGAAGTCGGTATCTACGGAAGGGAGGCGAGATATTGCCGGGAAGCTGGCTGGCTTTTCAGTGAAGAGCCCGCTCCCTCGGTCTGCTATACAGATTCCCGCGAGCCCTGAGTCGATAACCTCATACAATTATTCATGCCGGGTGATAGGTCAGCAAGCATATTTACATGCCATCATTCTATGCAGCAGACACGCATGAAAACAAAGCCTCTTCCATTGGACGACCTGAAGCTTACCGATAACCGGAATCTCTGACCTTGCGGTGGGTTTTCAGACAACACCATGAAGTGTCAAGCCTTATACTATGCCCAATTGCTGCTTCGTCTCCCAGTTAGTCAACATGTGCTTTGATGGGAACCAATTTATTGAGATAATATTTTTGCCAATTACTGTAAGGTTCTTTCTCTCGTGGGTTTATCTCATGGCTTTGTGGTGCTGTGCTCTGTGGTTCTCTTGCGTCATCCTCGGAAAAATTTAAGAGCATTGCATGACGTGGTAGACTAAACACATTATACCTTGAAAATTTAACAATCGAGAGGTGTGCGAATCAAATCGTCTCATGCTTGAATTGTCGAATTGCCCTAGAGTTTCAATATTCTACGACTACAACATGCTTGCAGTAGGTCTATTGAGACAGGGTTGCACACACATTGAAAACGAACCGTGGTTGGCATATGGCTGTGCTAAATTAATCAATTATAAGCACACGTCTCGCGAGAGCTTATTCGTGTACTTTGAAGGCAGATCTCTGTCCAATTTGTTGCTCTGCCTACCGCCTGAATATAGCTACTATCTGCAGCTATCCTAGACATGGGATTTAGACGGTGGGACCCCTCAACAGCCCGAGCCTAAGTCCTACCCAGGCTAATGAGGAGACAGCAATAGCTTCCCCCGGCGAGTAGTTAGCCAACGGCCGGACTCAGTACCTCTGTATACTAGCACTTCAGACTGCACGCCCGTTGCTTTCAAGAACTATGTGTTTCATGACTTATGAATACAATGATGTCTGAGAAGCTCGTACGGGAAGAGAAAAGAAAAGCAAAGAAGCCTTTCAATAACGTATTCCACAATCAACTAGCTTGGCTGGCTTCATGGACCGGTAAAATAACCTCCATATGTATGTTGATTCTCTTACAGCCGTGGTATCATGATTTGACAATTGACAAAAAGCGGTGTCCCCTACGCCGTCTCCAAAGCGCACAAAGGCTGGGATGGAGATGATAGTCTGGAAGATGCCAGAGACATTAAGCCAGTGAAAACTAGCTGGACTAAACATCAAGTCTGCTGCTCCAGCCAATACCTTCCTTGGTGCACCACTCTTTCAGTATTGCGCAACTGAACTTGATGATTTCTAAAGGCGTGCTGGCTTTTGCCAAAGGTAGAAAGTATTCGATGGATAAATCGCCAGCTTTCAAATGTTGCTTCCCTTGCTCTGAAAAATTCTTCGACCGTTTGAACCAGGTGGCAGGGAATTCGCTGACAAGCACTTCCTCAGAAAGACCGCGTGAGCCTTCTAACCATAGTTTCTGAGACTCTCGGTAACATTCTGGAAGTCGATTCTTTAACTCGTTGAATTCTTTTCGGACTTTCTTGTACTCGTCCAGTACAACAGTTGTCCCATCACTTCCTGATTGGGGAACAACTGTATGCTCTTCGGGTAGAGCTGTAACCGCAAGTCTTTCCAGATCGAGTGCGTGGATTGCATCATATGAGATGGCTCCAAGAATAAGACAAAGACTGTGTAGTCGGGGATAGGGTGCACTGTTTTTCTTCACCACACGCCAATATGCAAGGATTGACAGCCATGAAGATGAATCTGCAACCTGACGAGTTAGAGCCTTCCAATGGTCATCTGCAACGAAAGCCAAGATGAAGCATATTATAGCTTCTACCGCTGTGGCGACTGCCAGCTTTTCGTCGACGACAGTCACATTATCTTTAGCTGTATGGTGTTCTGCAGCATGCTTCAATTCTCGGCCGAGGTTGCCGTACTTTTGATATTCATCTTTCCACGCTCGACGCTCGCATTGTCGAGAAGTAGCGCTAATTGCTTGAGGGGATGGTGGTTTGGTAACGGTTGCCAATTCTGTTAGATGTTTCACACCCGGCTGGGAAGGCATTCTCCCGCCAATGCCTCCGACCACTTCAGACTGACCAGGATATTTTGAGCTTTTGCCTGATATTGCTAGCATCTGGTTTGATCTCTCCTGCGAGGCATGTGTGGCATGCAGGCTCGGAGCCTGTGGAGACTGAGGTTGATCGTTGGTGTTGGAGGGTTTCGACTCTTTCAAGCGTTCTTTCAAAGATATATTTCCGGCTTCATACTTGGCCTTCACCTCGTTGCGAAATAATCTATTGCTGTTCTCTGCACGCTCGGATACCGTAGCCTTCGCTACAGGTTGCCTGGCTTTCAAAGCATGAGGAATTTCAACATCCGTAGCACTTCTTACGGGTGAGTTTGGTGTACCTATCTTCCTCTTACCGGAAAATTTCAAAAGGGCCTCAACCCGCTTCCTGTTCGTTCTGCCATACTTCAACCTGATAATGAACTGTGCTCTGGTTTGGCTTGGGTGGTAGTTTGGTCGTGTACCAATTGGGTCCATTACAATATTCTTGGATGATGGTTGAGAGCCGCCTTTTGTAGTTATGATTGAATCAACATCCGAATGTTCTTGAAAGGTGATTGATTTTTTAACTGAACCAGAGTTCGATATCTTGTTTGGCCGGCTGGGAGCGGGTGAGGACGAGTTCAAGTGTGCGGAGCCACGAATAGCGTTTTTAGTCTTGAGAAAGTTTGAGGCATCGACATGGGAAGAAATGTGGTGCTGCGAGTCTACAGACACAGGATCCACATTTTGCATCAATAACTCTTTCTCGAGATCTGGCGGCAGTGTTGGTGATAGAAGCCGGGGCAGTCTCGGGCTGCTTGAACTTGGGGGCAGGGTCGGTGATAGGAGGGTAGGGAGTCCGTTGCTCCGCGGTCGTCCCACTTTGTTGGGGTCTACTGTAGAATCAGGAGATAACCTGGGTTTCTTAAAGGAGACAAGACCCTTTCCGGCTGATTTAACAGGCTCATTATCGGTTTCAAGCGGACGTTTGCGATCCACGTTCTTGGGAACAGATGAGGCTCGCAGATCAGCTGAAACCACTTTCTCTGCCGATCTCCGTATATCGCCAATGAAACCACTAGCTTTGGTGATTGGTTGGCTTCCATTGGGTGCTTGAGCAGTTGAGGATTGGGAAGAAGCTTGTCGATTGACGGGAGAATCGGAAGGGGCACCTGGCTTTCTCCTGTTCTTGTAATCATTCAAGCTTATTTTCTTCTTCAGTGAGCCATAACATGGTGTGCTAGCTGCACTCTGAGGCGCAGAGTGCTGATCGGACATGACGTTCCCTGCACCGTCGGACCAATCTCCCACAGCCGCTAACAAGGAGTCTCCGTCGTGATGAGTCAAGAATGTCATGTATTGGAGTTGCTGTTCCTCTGGCGTGAACGGGCCGTCATCACTCACTGCCCAATTGTTGACAAAGCGCCCTCCAAGACGGAAAGGCACATCGGTTGGGACAGTAAGGAGGAATGGGTAAAGTGGAAGGACTTGGTCTCGAAGTCGCTTCAATCGTCGATCAACGGAGTCTTGATCTGGATTATATGTGCGTTCGCTCGCTATCTTCGATCCTCGTAGTTCAGCGTTCGCGGGGCGAAATGACTGCTCTCCCGACATGGCAGTCCGTCAAATGGGTGTGTAGGAAGTGACGGCAGCTAAAGCATACATGCACTTCCTTGTGAAATCTTCTCCACCCACGCGTGTGATTCTTGACTCCAACACCTTCCTTTGCTGACTTCTCTGAAATGCGCGTGTGTTGGTTCGCATGGGGCCTTGCTATCTGGATTCCAATGGTGTCGGACATCCGAGCAGAGGTATCTCATTCGGCCTAGTTTCGTAATTCCGATTAGTTTCCCATCAATGCGTGATTCGATCCATATAGCACCCCACGCCTTGGTCTGATTATTCGCTCTCGCCCTGAACTTTCCGGCTTCCCCTTCAGACGCGCATCACCGGCTACCGTAACAGAAGCCCGTCAAAGACGTCTAGTCCCTCGAAAGTAATTGACTGGTTTATACAAGCAAATGTCGTAAGTAGATTTGGCCGCCCTGGCGATGAGTGGTTGACCGGCTAGAAGCCGATACCTAATAGGTAGGGCTATGACTGCAGGCTCAGGGCCAGAGGGATAGCGATAGAAGCCTCTAGCCCAAAGAGCAAACGAAAGGATGATCCTAGGCGTTTAGTGTAAGGAAAGGGAAGTGTTGTTTCGGAAGAAGGCCCGAACAGAGTGTGTTGTTCAGTACTAGGCTAGGTTTCAATGTTCCGGCCGGGGTCGAAGCGGAGACGCTTGGCAGTAAAGTAACAGGATGTGTGGAGGGGAGAAGGGATCAGGAATCATCGGGTCATAAGTTATACCACTGCGGCATGCGTTTTTATATTGAAGCTGACATGTATCCTTGGAATTAGTTGCCTTGTATGATTCAACCTTTTCTTGCTGCTCGATCATTCCATTCTTGCTCCATTCTAAAAGTCCCACAGTCAACGATCTCTCCTTACCGTTTAAATCACAGGCGGAGGGCGTCACCTGTTGACTGATGTATGCCATATCCAAGTCTCCATAGGAGATGTACAGCTCATCTGTCACCCATTGTCTTGGTATGAGTCCACCATGATATCTGTATACTGCGTATAAGTACTCCGTACGTAGCACAAATACATAATTCACGCTAATCCCGATCGGCATATGCGAATTCTTTCTGCCAAAATGCTCGAAAATGCGTTTGCTGGCCTTGTCTGCACAGCTCAACAACTTTTTTCGGTGTCAGCTGGGAGGTAAGAGCACGCAGGTAGCTACTTAGGCGGGATTCTTTGCTACTGGTTGTAATTGTCACGGCACCGCAATTCATGGCCCATCTCAACAAAATTTCCCCCTCGTCGACCGCGTACTTTTTGGCCAGACCGGACAACATTTGATCGAGGGGACCGCCTCTCGCCCGATTAATAGGAGTCAATGGGCCATAGTTAGCTGTTGCGATACCCTTATTTCGATGAAATTGAAGAAGAGTACCATGTTGCAAGTACGGATGGAACTCGATCTGATTTATGGATGGATGCATTGTGGCAGTTCTCATGATGGCCTCAATGTGCCCCTCGAGAAAATTGGAAACTCCTATGGACCGGGCTTTGCCAGCTGCCTTAACTTGCTCCATAGCAGCCCAAGCTTCTTGGAGATCGCCATTAGACTTGGCAAAGAACGGCGAATGAATTAGGTATCTTTGATTTGCACCATGAGTTGAAGGTTTCATGCAAAAGGTGTCAGGAACACCGGGAGTGTGTTGGTACCCACAGATCGACGTAGCTGAGTTGGAGCTTCTGCAGACTCATATTGATTGCCCCCGGAATGTCAGCGATACTCGCAATCACTTTTGTCGTCGCAAATAGGTCTTCCCGTTTCAGTCCACTCTCCTTGATGACAAGACCCAGCTCAAGCTCCGTTCCATAAACCTCTGCCCCATCGAGATGCCGATACCCTAATCGAATTGCCGCTTTGATGGATTCAAGAAGTTGATGGTCAATGCTATCAGGTTGGGCCTTCTTATACCAAGCAGTACCGCTACCGTACCCAAGCTATTATGATCATTAGTTTTCATCCAGCCGGAGACATCTGCCATTGTAATACGCCGGATCATGAGACGGAAAAGAAGGCCTAGGGTAAGTCACCAGAGGAACGTTTGTCCCATCACTTAGCTTGACAGTCGGGACGTTCTTCATATTGAATGTCATTAAGCAAGCTATGCTGTCGACCGAATCGGCGCAGATAAATTACAACAGTCTGACATGAAGAATTCTGAGACTCAGCTTATCAGAGAGTAAGTACATTTGCGTCGGCACATTTGACGTCATGCTTAGATCTGAGGCCAACATCCCGAACCTTACCGCCTGAATCCCGCAAATGCTACAAGATTTCATCATTACCTAGTCACCTATGCTACTTTCCTAACCCGCCCCTATGAGACAAATATAAAGGGGCCTACTCGCATTAAAAATAGCCAAGCTCTCATATATCCACATATGTCATGGTCATATTCGATGCTCACTGTGCATATCTTCACATTCGGTTAGCATCTTTCCGCACTGTCTCTAAACGGTCGTGGATGCTTCCTACTTGTTCCTATCACATGGCTTCACAACTCCATAATGCTCGTAAAGGGGTTTCCTTGCAAGAACTTTTCAAGTCCAATGTTTTCACATCCAAGCTTCCTGCGGACCCTGCCTTTGAGACACCAGAAATATCACATCGAGCTCCTCGTGAGGCCTTGGGTCCGCGTTTAGTGAGAGGTGCGCTTTATACATTTGTGAGACCTGAGCCGGCAGAGGAATATGAAGTTCTGGGAGTTAGTCCGAAGGCCTTGGAAGATCTTGGGCTTGCCGCTGGAGAACAATTCACCCCCCAGTTCCGCGGTTTGGTGTCCGGAAATGATTTTCCTTGGGGTGAAAATGTCGGTGGGATATATCCTTGGGCACAATGTTATGGAGGTGAGTCCTTCGACTTCTCTCTCCTCTGTTTGGGATTTCGCTTTCCACACGTACTTGAGATGGAACCGCACGAACTGACGCCGTAAAGGGTGGCAATTGTACGTTACAGGTACCTGTCGGGTGGTAGATCCCATGTACGGTATTGACACATCATAGTGGCTCATGGGCTGGCCAACTAGGAGACGGGGTGCGTTGCACCCGGCCGCACTCAAGTACATGTATAGAGTTGACATTGAACAGCGTGCCATCAGTCTTTTTGAGAGCACAAATCCATATACGGGCATTCGCTTTGAGCTGCAGTTGAAAGGAGCTGGTCGAACTCCGTACTCACGTTTTGCCGACGGCAAAGCTGTACTCCGGTCGAGCATCAGAGAATACATTGTATCTGAAGGTAACTCCGTCCAAAATTTGATCTTATGAACGGAAACTAAATGTTGTTAAGCTCTTTCGGCACTCGATGTTCCAACGACCCGAGCCTTAGCCATTACTCTATTACCCCAATCGAAGGTTTTGCGAGAGCGCATTGAACCAGGAGCTGTTGTGACTCGATTTGCGGAGTCTTGGCTTCGTATTGGAACTTTTGATCTCTTGCGTGCGCGCGGAGATCGTGATCTGATTCGAAAACTTGCGATGTATGTCGCCGAAGAAGTCTATCATGGTTGGGAAACTCTACCAGCTGCTGTGTCTGTGAGTGATGACCAGCATTTAACTGCCATAAATGATCCTCCTAGGAATGTCCCAAAGGATGAAGTTCAGGAGTATTACGGGATGCAAGAAAACAGGTTCAGCAGACTCTATCGAGAGATTGCACGCCGTAACGCCAAAACCGTTGCCGCCTGGCAAGCCTATGGTTTCATGAATGGTGTCCTAAATACGGACAATACCTCGATTCTCGGCCTATCAATGGACTTTGGTCCCTTTGCGTTTATGGATAACTTTGATCCCCAGTACACGCCGAATCACGACGACCACCTACTGAGATATTCTTACAAGAATCAGCCGAGTATCATCTGGTGGAATCTGGTCAGACTCGGTGAATCACTTGGGGAACTCATCGGGGCAGGAGACCGAGTTGACCATGAAGATTTCATAAGAGAAGGACTGACCGAAAGCGCTGCACCAGCTGTAATTGAACGTGCTGAGAAGCTCATTGAAAAAACAGGCAAGGAATTCAGGGCTGTATTCTTGAATGAATATAAGCGCCTGATGGGAAGGAGGTTGGGCCTTCAAACGAAGAAAGAGGCCGATTTCCAAGCTTTGTTCTCTGAGATGCTTGACATGATGGAGGCACTGGAGCTGGATTTTAACCATTTTTTCAGAAGACTTTCGAATATTACGCTTGCGGAGATCGAGACAGAAATTCAAAGAACGGAAACGGCGTCACGATTCTTCCATAGTGAAGGAGTTAGCAGTATCGGGTTCACAGAAGGAGCTGCTAAAGAACGCATCGCGCGCTGGCTTGAGAAGTGGAGAATCCGCATCTTGGAAGATTGGGGCCTGGATGCTGATGCGGCGAGGCAGACGGCTATGAAATCGGTGAATCCGAATGTATGTTTTTCGTGGGGTTGAGGATGGGAATCTTTGATGATACTTGTGGCTTTTTGCTAACTTCAAATACTATATAGTTTCTACCACGCGGCTGGATTCTTGATGAAGTCATTGACCGCGTGGAGCACAAGGGTGACCGTGATATACTTGGACGAGTTATGCAGATGGCGCTGAACCCCTTTGAAGAAGATTGGGGGTTCGACAAAGATGAAGAGCGGCGGTTCTGTGGCGATGTCCCAAAATTCAAAAGAGCCATGATGTGCAGTTGTAGCTCGTGAAAGAGGTTCCCTTTAATTTGAACGCTGTCTTTAATGAAATGAGAGTCTCTTTCTTATATAGTACCGTCGACGCCTTACCTATCTGGATTGAGATCTCAGACACAGTCACATGACATGAAGTAGAGATTTACACAGCTGTGGGGATAGCAAGAAACTACACAGTATTGAGGACAGATTCGTGACTAGTACACTTTGCGAGAAAGAACCTCGAATTGTCTCTAGCAGACTATTGGTGGCGCAAGTGTGTCTGTAGACGCTGGCATAAGGCATAAGCAAGTTTGAGACTGGCCAAGACTCCGTGAAATCGACTTAAATTGCTGTTTAGAAATGTTTCATTTTTCGTGGACAAAGTCTTCCATAGCACACATGTGGTTTCATCTATTTGTCCACCCGCAACACAATGCACCACCTATCAGTCCTCGAACCAAACTTACTGCCTGCATGTAAGACAGCATGTCGCGCATACAACTCCATGGCGAAAAAGATATCTTCGGATATCAGACAAATCAGATGGGTTTGTTAGAGGTTTTCAAAGCCAGGGTCGTATGCCATGTCAGAGATCGGCTTTAGGATAAAGCGGGAGTAATGAATTGCAGATCGTCAATAATGGCGCGATCGAGGTGCATATTCCCGAATCTGGTCTCGTACGAGACATCGCGACAGAAGACAAACAGTCCAGAGTGCATTAAAACTAGTTAGGGCAGGCAGCCTGGACGTGTCCAGGTTGCTTGCAGTTGTAACACACTCGTTCACCCTTGGCTTCGGTGGGGCAGTCACGAGAAACATGTCCAACTTCTCCGCCTACACGACCACTATTAGTATCCTAGCTGAACTTGCTTAAGGGCGGTTGGTATAGCTTACAGTTGTAGCACTTCTGACCATTGGTGCAATCGCGAGCCATGTGACCGAAGCCACCACAAGAGTAGCAAGTCTGCTGACGACCGCCAAAGCCACCGCCATAGCTGCCGCCCTGGGGACAGTTTCTGGCGATATGGCCGACCCGGCCACACTTGTAGCACTCCTGGCTACCACCAGCAGCACCGTAGCTCTCGCCCGAGCCAGCCTGAGGGCATTCGCGAGAAATGTGACCAGTGGCGCCGCAACGATAGCACGACTTCTCCTTCGGGGCTACTGTACATTCACGACCTGAAATATGTGAGCCCTTTTCTCGACATGTGTAGGGCAGAGCACCACATGGCGAACTTACTGACGTGTCCCTGACCTGTGGTCGGAGAATGAACGAGTCAGACCAGATTCGTCCCTGATAATGATGAAATAGACTCCGACAGAAGCCAACAGCTAACTTCACGGAAAAGAGGGGAGATGGAAGAAGGGTCGAAGAGGTACTGACCACCACAGTTGTAGCTATTACAAAGGACGAATTAGCAGACTTTTTCAACTCGGGACGCAGAAATACTTACCAAGTAGGGGTACCCTTCTTGGGGCAATCGCGGGCCTAAATTTTGTCAGAGGCTTGCAGGAGACAAGGGACGAGTCACGATGCTACTCGAACATCTGTTGGGGAAGGAAGCAATGTTTACCTGGTGCGAGGCATCGCCGCCTATATCGTAGATAAAGAATCATTAGTGTCTGTAGCATCCAGATGATCATCGCGAAGAAGGATTCTCGCCCATTGAGGTGCTTCATGCGATGACTTGGGTCCACACTCGTCTCTCAAGCGTCCTGGGCCGACTAGCGACATGCACTTGATTCCAATAACGAGGTTTCAAAGGACGAGAAGAGAAGAGGGCGTGCGATCCAGGCATATTCATTTATTTTTTGGTGCAGGCAGAAATTGGCATTTGGGAAACAAAGGACCCTCTGACTCGAGCTGCAGGGCTCTAGAAAGGCCAAGAACTTGCGAGCCAGAGTCGCGCCCGCTGCTCTTTTTCTGTTTTTCTTTTTTTTTTTTTTGGTTGGGTTTCAAGGATTGATTAGACTCACAGTTGAAGCATCCACGACCTCCAGCTTGGAAACTCATTTTGTCTTGTAGTGTAGGGTTTTGACTTGGAAGGAGTTGAGGGAGACGGAATGGGGAGCGTTAAAGTTGGGAATTTTTTTTGTGAGGATGGATGGAGGTTGAGGGGAAAGACTCGGCGATCAGAAATTTAGTGCTAATAATGAGGAGAGGAGTCAGACTAATTAATGCAGACCATAAAACGGAGATATGCTAACTCGGTGCGGGGGAGCCTGCAGGGCTTTAACACTAGGAACCGCCGCATGCCGCACACAACACCTAGGAACAATAGTACTAGACAAATAGCCTCACTTCGTTATCTTCTCAGATTTCGCTCGCAGTTGCAATGCTATTTAGTACGAGTTCGACTGTTATCGAATGCTATGACATAAGATGGCAATTCCTTAACAGGAGAAGTAGTATGAATTCCAGATTAGCCGGTAAATGTGTAGGGTCTCGCTGATTTAGACAATCCCCTAGCTTCACCTCTTTCTCCCACTAGCAACCCGGTGCCGCAGAGCTCTGTCTACGAGAGTCAACCACTTCGCTGGAACTGGCATTCCAGGCGAGGTCATACTGACGATGCTGGCGACAAATAGCGGTGTTGGAAGTCGGGGGATCCTCACTCACAATGAAACTGTTGAAAAGAAGAGTGTCTGACACATCTGTCATTTGTATCCTCACTCGATCAGCTGAAGACAAGATTGATGAATCTGATAAGGGAGAAGGGGAAAGAAAAAGAAGGATAAAAGCGGCAGGGCAGGGCTGTAAAGTACTCTCATATAAATACTAATTGAGGTGACCCCTCCCAAGGTCCTCCCTGAGCTAGGTACAATTTCTTTCCTATGTGAGCTGATACCAAATATCACTTTGCATTTCACCTGAAATATAGCCGGTCCATAATCTATCTCAACGCTCCATGAGCGTCAACAAGAAGAGTCTCCATGACTGAAGTGAACCGCTCATTGCAAGACCATGGACCTTACCGGACTTCTCGACCTTGGCCCGTTCACGTGAAATCATATGATTTCAACATCTGCCCGTCGATTTTCTTGCCACGCAGCAGAAGGACACGCTCATCATCGAATCTAATACAGTCACTTATCTTGGTTATACTGTGCGGGCCCTGTGTAGTATTCGGCAGGGAGTTGTCCTTGGCCCGGGAACTCGGCGTGAGGTCACTGATATCACTTTGCTTCTTTCCTGGACAAATTCGAATGCTATTTCCGTGTCTTCGCGCTCGTTGCCTCCCAAAGGCTGAGACTAAGCCTTCGAGTTCCCAAACTCTGATCTCATCTCCCTGGGAGCTTACCGATATTGCCTTGCCACGTTCATTCACCTGCACGGCTGAAACTGAGGACGTATGACCCCAGAGACGCTGTGCACCTTTAATACATAAGCCCGCCGACGTGGACATAACCAGGTACACGGTCAAAGTATTGTCTGTGTGTGATGATAGTAAATAAGGATGCGAATAAGACACAGAAGTCGGGGCTTCCTGATGATGTATAGAGGGTTCGGCTGGCCTCAAGCGAGACGTGTTCTTCCTATTTGTCTCGACCCAACTGCACGACTGGTCCGTTCCTGAGCAGCTGTGAGCTAGTGGGGTGCATATTCCATATTGAGAATCCACGGTTGTTGTGAGCCGCGTTTCCTTCTGCAAGCCAGTCGAGCAGCTGAACAGTGATTCCTGGATGCCCAAAGACCAACCACAGCCGGCATGGTAAAAGCTGTACACTATGGAAGTTATAACATCCGAGCCAGCCGAACGAACCGAAAGTGACATCGGCTCCATGATGCTGTCTGCCTCGAGAGATGATAAAAGTGTAGGTTCCCTGGGCAACAGGTGGACAGGCACACTAAAATCTGTGCCCAGTCTGAATAGCGATAAGACCTTATGATGTGACACCAAGAGGAGGTAGGGGTACAATGAAGACATTGCAGTAATGGCACCGTTCGTCGACCCAGCGCTATTAAAGCATATCCTCAGCGGCGACGAAGTTGTATCCATGTTATATATGCCGAAATGACCATCTTCGAAGCCGACAGCAATCTCGATGAGGTTCGGGCGAGAGCCGTTCATTGCTGTCACCGCCGTGGGCAAGGCAGCTGGATGCGCCCGGGGACATGTCAATGAGATTTCTGCGAGACAAAATGCAGGACTTTGAGTAGACCGAGCTCGAAGCTGGGAGTCATGATCTACTGTGAAGATGACGCCAGCGCAAAAAGCGATCAACGCAGGTCGAAGGTAGGGTTGAGAAAGCTCGACCTCAGTCACACGACAGACGCCTCTGGACCAATTGTGTCTTAGACGATATTGGCCTTTCCAATCCATACGTATTCCTGCATTTGCCAAGTGGCTATGATTGAGCCATGATGACACTTTTGGGGAATACTCGACCACCGGAAGTACAGTTTGCCTGGAATTTGCATAACGACGTGGCTGTCTCACCCACCGGTAATAGTAATGTCTCTTCCACAACTCCGAATCCTGAGCCAAAGCATTGAATCGATAGGACAAACTTTATGAAGGTTGTGGTTAGTCCATGTCATAACATGGGTGGGTTAAACAAGGTTGAACGAGTTTTAAACATACCGCTGACAGACTATTAAAGATGAAATGGGTAGGAAGGACAAAATGTGGAGTAAAGTTTCATCGCTCAGAGTGGAAATGCGATTGATTCCATTCGGGAGGCGCCCACGTTTTGAGGGACGAGGTGCGTGTAATGCGTATAATCCATCCTCGTAATGCCGTTTAGACATCTAATAGTCAAGAAGCAAGGGTCTCTAGCTTCGGGAGTGGATATTGCGATTTTGTAAATTGTCTTCAACATTTTCCATACCGCTATCTTGTACGCTGCGCGAGGACACAGTTACGTCAGATGAGCGCTTACATAAGGGCCGCCACCCGGCGAAGAGAATATATTACATACGGTCACGGGAGCATCCTTTGATGCAGTATCTCTGCAAGATACAAAACATAATGATATCTAAGATCATTCCATTACCCTATATCAATACGGTTATTAAATCAATGTACAATCAAGCGGCCACATTGCAATAGCTAAGCAGAGTACGTTGACCCATGTTAGTCTTATACATAGACCAATACTGGCAACGTCCATGGAGGCTCTGAGAACGCTTCGATCTCTTCCACCCGAATACTAGAGGACAGTTTTGAGGAAGCTTTCAGCAAAGCGAAGACTGAGATCCCCTTTTGCGACACGAATACGAAATTTGCCAAAGAAAAGGCCACAAAGGCAGAAAAAAAGCGGCTTAAGGCTGTTGAAGAATTGAATTCACTGAAAGACAAGACTCTCCTACGCCCCAATGACTTATGGGCCTGAAGACTATAAGGTCTCCACGAAATTTCGTGAGTTCGAAGCAGCATATGCGCCTCATCGGGTTCTACGTCACTTGAGTCATGGCCCTGGTGCTGATCATGACAATACCAAGACGGAAGCAATCGAAGTTATCTGTAAAGCGTATACGGCACTTTACGGAGAAGCCCAGGAGCTTGTGAAAGCCTCGTGCGAGCTCAGGAATCAGGTCAAACGATACAAAGAGAAGTTGAGTCTTTGGCAGAAGTGCCTCAAGCGTGATAAGTTCATTTTATTGCTTGATGGAGCAGAAATCGAGTTCAAGCGGACAAGGAAAGTCTCCATTGATGGGCCGCAGACCATGGGGTTAGCCATTTCTGTTCCCGTGTTGGAGCCGACTGATTGCGGTGTCACGGAACATGGCACGGCTTCTACACTCAAAGTCTCCGAAAGGCATCATGCAGATAGTGTAGACTCGGGGGACTGCAACCCAATAAACATGTCTCGAACCAGCTGCGAAGACTTGCTTCAACTTTCTTCAGCGCAGCCAACGCCAATAAAGTCGGGTCAACCCGAAAACGAAGCCATCATTTCAGCTGCCCAAATGTCAATTTCAGCAACGAGAACGTCAGAGTTAGACTGCATGGTACCGCGACAAGGACCAATGTATTCCACCTTGGTCAAAGACGAAACCATGTCTCCAAGCCCGCCACCCAGCCGATCGCCAGCAGGTGGAATTATTGGCACTCAGGATCTTGACAAAGTGGGTAATGCTGTCGAGACTCCCAGAAAGAGGCGGAAAGTTCGAGATGCCCATGTTGAAGAACGAGGCACTCTCTTAGAAGCGACTACTGCACCAACCAGCCAAGGGGGGCACACCCACGCACGTCTATCTCCGTCGCTATCTTCCTCTTCTCTAAAGCGGCCTGCCGTGCTGCGATCTTTCGATGGGAACCTTGGGGCTAGGAAACTTACTCAATTACCTCTAAATTCTCACGAAGAAGCTGGGAAGTGGGTCGCCAAAGACTACATATCTTCGATATTGGACGATGGTGATGAAAGCTACTCAAGTCTACCTTCGAGGAAGTTTACTGGAATGTCAGAGAAAGGCCCTTCAGGCCTTACTCTTGGTGTTGACGGTGAGCCTACTTTCCGGCGACTACATAGTCTGCTTGATGGGCAATTGCCTGCCAAATTAGAGCTGGAAGCACAAGTAAGGACTGTGGGCGCTCCTAATCGCGTCCGCAAGCGCCCACTCGCTGATTTGAGAGGAATGCAGCCGGATACTTACAATAAAAATGGAATGTCTAAGGTAGGGAGACTGGGGCAAACAGCTCCAGGCAATGGGACTCGGAAAACCGGCTACACCAGTGACTCGATCATGTCTAAGAGGGACGTGATAACAGACTCCGGGGAGGATCCCTTAAGAGCACGACCGCTGCATGAGCTTCAACTCAAAGATTTCAAAATCAATCCAGAATACAATCAAGGATATGATTATGCCTTTCACAGTGTGATCCGCAAAAGGGCTGACTTCAAATGTGCAAAAGGCTGTACGCGTTACGATTGCTGTGGGAAAAAGTTCCTGGATTTGGCACGTCTGCATGGCCTCCCAGCGGACGCAACATGCTCTAGTCAGGAACGCGAACGAAATGACCAAAATGTCCTCAGAGACTTTCTTGGGGATGAACAAAATCTGATTGATAGGTTGTGTGTGGACGACCGGAATCATCTCCTACAAGAAGCGAAGGCAAGGCTGATGGCCAATCAATTCGGTAGGCACAGGCAACAGCATCCGCGCGCCAGGTCACCTCCCGGGTTCTGGCGCACTGATATGCCTAGCACTCAAGAATTGGTACGCGACCACGAGGAAGCTAAGAGGCTCGAGAGGGATCTAGTCAAGGACAGGCACAGAGATGCAACGCAACCCGGGGGGCTCTGGAAGTTCGCAGATGAGTGAGCATATACTCATCACAGAGCTTCTTTTTTTGAATGAAGCAAGTACTGTACATACCATTTTCTAACAAAGAAGATATTGTCTCTCGAATGCCATCAAAAAGGTTGCTTTACCAGTGACCACAAGCGCCTTGCGCAAAGGCCATGTTCCGGAACCCACGCCAAGATTCCCCGGATTTCCAGCTGAACCTCGGCAACAAGGCGGTATGTAACTTTGCTATGCGGCGCACGTGCTTTATCTCCCGGTAATGCCCAGTGCACTCCGTGGGTAAAACCATCTTCTCCAGGCCCTCAATACAGCTCTTCTGTCTTCGTTCCCCAAAAAGGATTGAGTCGATCTTCCAGTCGGGTCATCTGCATCTCTACCTTGAGAAACCGCCTTATTAGTACACCTTCTTTGTGGAGATGGGCGCTACGAGGAACACTGAGAGCGCCGCCCCTTCTGCCCTGTTACGACCAGCAAGATGGTTGCTCTTGTACGAAGAATTCGTTACCAAGAACGCTAGCTCCGTAGGCCAGGTAGAGTCGGCGTTGAGGTCTCTAACATATATCATTCCAGGTTGGAATCATGAATCTATTTATACACAGTCTTCAAGGACGAGGAAAGCTGATGCTTTTTTCCAGGGAGATATCGAGACTCGGAAATAAGTTCGGAGTGTGGTACGTTGTTTCAGAGCCAACTATACTGATCTGCGAATGATATTTGGTTGCCTAATTGGATAAATGACCCTTCTAGTGCACTCGGGGGTCCAACTACTGTCGCTCTATCATGATGCGCTTGTTTCTCGAGTTGTTTCCAGATTACCATCGGCTGTTTCGCGGCCGATACCGACTCCACACATGAGATATACTAAGTACTGGACGTCTCGGTCTCCGCTATACCATAAAATCGCCCTCGCCTTACAGATGGTCCAGTATACAGAGCTGCTCTGGGAAATGATTGCCCGTCGCCGCGGGGAGAAGGTCCGCTGGCGTGTCATCATTCTTATCGAAGCAGTCAAAGCAATATGTCGCCTCTTGCTCCTTCGTCTTACGAAATCTAGGCCACTAGTGAATCCTCCGCTGCCTGAGCGGGAGATTGACCCTAGATTCGCAGATGAGGAGGAAGGTGACTGGAATGGGATGCAGTCGCCAACGGGCGAACGACTGTCGGACTTGAGCTGGACGATGCCACGGACCGGGTTACCTCTCCCTTCGTTACCGGACGTGGATGATATCTCGAATTTCTTGATTTCCAAGGTCCTCACCGCTGATGACATCAAACCACCCAAGGCTCTATTGCATCGCGTTGCTGGTCAAGGACAGCTAGCTGAAGCTCTATATATCCTTCGGCCAGTGGTCTATGCGCTAGCGATGCAAAAATACAGCGGAGACAGACATCGCTGGAGACCTTGGTTGCTGGGATTCGGTTTGGAATATGGTTGTCGGCAGCTTGCCAAGTCCGACTTCCGCGAAAGAGTTGCTGGCGGCCTTCGAGGACTGACAGGGCTCGAACGCGAGGAACTGAGGAAAAGGGGCTGGGCAATGGGTTGGTGGGCCATGCGGGGGGCTTTCTATACAAGTGTTACTAAGTATGTGATCTAAAGTCTCCCCGTGCACCCGTGGAAGTATCCCATTATACTAACGGAATTAGGCCCTGGCTCCAGGGCTTGACTGCGAAGATGAAGGGCAAGCCTCTACTTGACCTGGTAGGCAGCGTCATTGGCGACTACGAATACTTATGGGACAACTACTATTTCTCAACTGCGACGTTGTGATCATATTTCTCCTTTCCTTGCAGCTTTGTGCGGATAATCGTCACCTATGGCCTTGGCCCCAATTTATCTAAGATAGTCCAGGCACCTGACTGGTCACAGGTCGCTTCTCTATTGCTTTATCTCGTCTAGCAAATTCCCGTTCCGTAGAAAGTGCTCTCAGTACCAGGTATATGTGTATATTCTAGGGATCAACTTTGATCTCTGGCGTGTGGATTTTCAGTCAATGGGGTATCACGCTTGTCATTATTGACATGAAATTTCCGACTCACCCGCAGCATTGTGCGTTGTGTCATATAAGAATATCCACTGACCTCGATCCGTACCATTCTCGCACTTCATGGTGTGACTTCGAGATAGCCCCAGCCGATGTTAGTAGAAAGTCTTTCATATGTAAGTTTTCTTCCTCTTCCGGCCAGTCAACTTTAAAGCCTCCCTTTACTTCCAACATTTCTTTGGCAGTGCCCCAGCTAAATCGACATTCGTTTCCCCACCCAAAAATAGGATCCATGTTGTTTCGAAGCCAGCTGACACTCTTCGAGTCTGAAGGATACCCGCTACCCCAGCTTTGAGTAGTGAAAGCCTGGGCATTGTTCTCGGCATCACATCGTTTTGAGACTTCTTCGTGGCATAGCTCCAAAGCAACATCCCTAGTCACCTTGGCTGCGACACTCGCCGCGCTGACACAAGGATAAAGAGAATCAGCCTTTTTGGCTACTGTTATCTTCAGGGAAGGAAACAATTTCTCCAGCTTCTGTTGATATGTCACGGGATTTCCGATCGTATCTATGTAGACCTCCCGAACGTTCATGCTTCTCTCTTCGACGATACCTCGGAGTATTTCGACGGTAGCATCCATTGCCTGAGCATTGAGATTGTAAGACCCGGCGCCAGGTCGCAGCATACCCGATGAAATGTCGCGTGCTGATAGCAGCTTCGTAGCCCAACCGCACGACTCAAAAAGCGGATTGCCGGGTGTGCATAGTAACCTCATTAGGTTCATGCGCACTCCTGGTGTAAGGACTTTGCTATCATCGAATTTGTATTCGCGAGAAAGAAGAGAATTCTGGAGCTGGTGCGGCAGGTAGAAGGCACTGTATACCATCGGGCCCAGGACAGGACCGCGTCCAGCCTCGTCGATACCTAGGACGAGGTAGTCGTCTTGCGGTGATTCACCCCGGGAAGTCGAATTGAATGTGTTGGGCGAGGGAGGGTGTGGTGAAAAGTAGGAATAAGAATCACCAGACAATAATTTAGTACAATCTATGCTGGGGGGTACAAAAAGACCCGTGGAAGCTGAAGCTGAGGAAGCTTCTGAAGAGAGGTCGCAGGCACCTTGGTTGGCTTCTCCCATCTTCTGCGGTTTTCGAGCGTCAGTCAATCAAGGGCGATGATGGAGTATGTATTGCGACCAAGAATAGCATTCAAGCACGGCAGACAAGCTCAATGGTTGATCCAGCGCATGCAAAAGACTTGGGACGAGAGAAATGAGTAAGGCAATCGTGGTATTGTATATAAATCAGCAAATTGGGACGCGTCTCAAACAGTTCAGGACTAGCGCGTGTCACACCTTCGCCGCTCGCCGCTCGCCGCCGCCTCCATGAATTCCAAACTCCCCACCGCAGCGCTCAGTGCCGCTTCGACCTGAACGTCTGTCGCGTTTCGGAGTCCATTAGCTTTCACCGATCCCCTTCACTTCTCAGCACTCAAGTACTTTTGCGCGACGGGACTTGTTCCCTCTACGTACTCAACTCGAAGTAACCGACGCGAAATCTCTCCAACCTGCCACATTCACATTCTAGCCGCATACAGCTTCCGAAGCTCCGCAGTGATGGCTCCCCGGGGGCCCGCGAAAGCTCGCGACTACGACTACGCCAACGTTGGGAAAGCCGGAAGGTAGCTATAGACCCGGAACACCAATCGATTCCTATTGCCTAATAATCTCAATTTCGTTCCCCTGCCATCTTCATCTTGACTTGCCGCTGCGTGAATGGCTAATGCAGGCGAGCGGTACAGGCGCACAGGCATAATCTTGAAAGAAGGGAGGCGTGATGAATTCGGCATGGAAGAAGTCGATGGCATCTTCTCCTCTCCTGAAAATTCTCCGGTGAGAGAGAACGGGTTCGGCACCCGAAACGAAGCCTCGATCGGCTCAGATGGCATGTCCATGGACGAGGGTCTGTAATAAGTCTCGACACATCTGCATCATACGTACTGACAGTAAGGCGCTTATCTATGCAGGAAATGGGCCTGGCCCTGCAGATTTCTTGAACGGCAGACGTGGCTCTTATTTTCCTCCTCCTGTCGCACGATCCCCTATGAAAACTGGGCTCACGGGCTCCCCACGGCGAACACCTGGTCTGCGATCTTCCCAGAGTCCACAGCGCAACCACCCCTCTTCCAGTCCTTCCGATGGGAAAGGACTGGGGATCGCTAAGGGCGAGCCACGGCGCGATGTATCCCCGCTCACTAACCGTTCCGTGAACGCGACGCCGTCTATGAACCATCTACACAACGCGCGCGTTAGCAAGAAAACTGATATTGTTGCCCAAAAGCTTACGGATGTGGGCTACTCCGACACTGATGCAAGCGTTCAGTCGAGTGGGGACGAGAATGCCCATGCTCTGGGACAGGAACGTGATCAGGCGGTGGATAATATTCATGCCGACGATGACGCCCTGATGCAGGAGCAAACAGGCTACTTGAGTTCGGATGGGGCAAATCCCGAGTCTCCATTCATTGTCGCCTCCAATGCACGCGGGAGACGTCAGTCAAAGGATCCCTTGATGACACATGGGAATGGCATAAGAAAGAATCTGCATACTTCGACTCTCTCTGATACAGTACAACTAGATGTCACACAAAAGCGCAAACGCCCAGGCAGGCCTCCAAAGACACAGCGCAAGAATATTTATGATACAGAGGAACAGAGATCAACGAAGAAACCTAGAGTAATGGATCAGACTGATCGAACGTCAAGTTCACCTGACGACGCCCAGTTGGATAGAGTGGTGGAAAACTATATCAACCGCACAGGACCACTGAAAGGCCGGGGCTTGTATGTACTGAAGCGCGAAGCCCCTTCAGACGACACTACCACGCACACCCGATCGGGCCGTGTCTCGGTAAGGCCTCTCGCTTACTGGAGAAACGAGCGATGCGTCTATGGCGATGGCGAGGCTGTAGAAGGCCAGAGATTTCCATTGTCAACCATCAAGGAGATCATCCGCACAGAAGAGCTTGAGCCAGAGAAGCCACGATCGAGCAAACGCCGCCCCTCAAAGAAGTCTCGAGCTCGAGATGACGACTCTGATGAAGATGCAGCTTTTTTTGACCCCTGGGAAAAAAAAGGTGGAATTTTGCATGGTTATGTCAGAAAGTGGGATCCGGAAACTCAGACGGCAGGGGAGCCAGACATCGTTGGTAGGTTTACAACTCACAGCGCCTTGCCTCGGCTTGTCGGATCTACCGTAAACTGACTTCTCACGCAGACCTCGCATATGCCCCCTCTGGAATGGAGACCAAAAGCGTTAAGGACTCGTCGTGGCGGTTCGCTAAACTCATCAGCTCCCCCTTCATGGGGTCCGGTATCGTTGAGTTGCCGCCTGGCGGAGTGAAAAAGCCCAAGAACTCAAAAAAGATGCATATGGTATTCTACATCTGCAATGGACGCGTGCAAGTGGATGTGTCAGGGGTTCGCTTCAGCGCGGGCAAGGGCTGTGTATTCCAAGTTCCCAGAGGTTGGTAGCTTCTAGGCCTTCGATAATGGGAATCTGACATACTTTCTAGGCAACTATTACAGCTTCGCCAATACGCACAATAAGGATGCGCGCTTATTCTTCACACAGGGCTGTCTTCCTGAGAATGATGACTCTGCTCCTGGCTCTGCGACAAAAGCTGGTATCATGGAAGCAGATTCTAGCACGCCAACAGGGCGCCCCACGACTATGGGGAAAGGTAGGCCCAGGGGCAAGCAGAAAAATGGGCCTGGTCGCATAGCGACATAAGTGCCCGTGTGTGCTAAGGGCACTATCCTTACAGCTGTCTAGGTTCTCTTTCTTCACTCTCTCGATGATCTGTACAACTTTCTACTCGCCTTCCCATTGGAGTGGTGGCTTCTGAATTAGCGAATGTGTCACGCAATTGCTGGGATGATAAGGATGTATTTCGTCATTGTTTCTCTCCATTCTCCTTAGTGCCGCGGCGTGAGAGCCCGGAGGTTCTTGTTCCGACTACAAGCTTTATTGGAATATTGTGGTTAATCTACTAGTTAGTGCAGATTTGTATTGCAATATGAAGGGAATGGGAAAACATCTGCTAGATTTCCTCCATCTCATCGTCCCAGTCATCCAGACCCAAGGGCGGGAAGTCTCCAATTTTCACCTTCTCGGGTTTCACAAAGACGCCCGTCTTGTTCGGGCAGACAAAGTAGCTCTTTCCGCCAATGCTACCGTCATTTTTACCCAGTGGCTCATCAAGCTCGATCCCGACCCATACTGGACAAGCAGTAGGGTCGGTTTCTGCCAGGTTAGGCTCCACTCCAGGGATGGGGATTGTTGGGACTGGCCCAACGAAGCGGATAGTGCCGCGTCGAACATGTGGCGGCGATGAAGGGAGGACAATGGCGCGCTTGTTGACAGCAATGCCTACCAGAAATGCATGGATCAGTACTCTGGTTTCAGATCGGATGATGAGAGCAGTCAAGTTGTTCTTGCAGTTTTTACCTCTTTGTTCAATCTCTCCTATGTCTTTCGAAGCTTGGCTGCGCATAGCTTCTTCGGGTGATACAGTACTGGGATCGAATCGACCGAGCTTCTGATTCTTTTTCCACGCCAAAACCGAATTCGGGAGCGCTTCGTATGTGGATGTCGGCAAAACATATTTATCGACGGACGACAAATCTGTGAAGTTAGGCCGCGTGGATCGAGGGCGAGAATCATGGACCTGCAAAAGAGAATTGACAAATCAATGTACTATTCGAAGATAGTATCTTAAACACCCAGTAGAATCTAAGCGGCGCTGAGATGCTCCTGTCATTTGCTGGTGTGACAAATGTATATGACCAAGAAGTGGGGAGAGGAAGGAGCATTTTGGGAGGAGGGGGGAGTAAAAGCAATTTTTGCAGCACCGATGGCTGACGATTCGATCAAAGAATGATCCCACATAAGCTTGCAGAGAATTCGGGCAAGCTGAAATGCAAGGAGAGTACATCCTACCTCTATTTCACAACCTTTCATCAAACCCCATTGACCAATAGTACTATCGTCGCCTTCAAGCCACTGGTCTGGACCCCCGGGTGACTTGAGGCAGAGCCGCTGACAGCTCGGGGGAACACCAGTCATGGTTTCGAGCTTGCTCTTCAGCTGCACGATGGTCCATGTTGGAGTAACTCGGCGCTCCGTTAAGAAGCGTGGCTCGGCGCTGGAGCCCGCGGCGGGCGTAGTGATGATGACGGAGATATCCGCAGGAGTTGGTTGAAAAGCCATGGCCGCTGGTCTGCACTGCTGAATTGTACTGCTATAGGGAAGGATTTTCCAATATTGCTTTCTCGTGGTCAGCAAACGACGAATCAAGTCTGAGCGGTATGTTAGTAGAATGACACGATCCAGGGAGGGAATACAGAATGAATTCAGTTGTTTCTCCTGTGATGCGCGAAGGAGAGGGGGAAAGATATGGAATAGCGATTCACCCTGAGCACTAGAAGTAATGTTCACATATGATAACACACAGAATGACATGTGATTATACACAAACGCACCTACTAGACAACAAGGACAATCGGACGAAGATGGATATCGATATTTCTAGTACTCACATGCTTCCTAAACAATTTGACTGATCTTCTAAGTAGAGGTTCACTGCTGAGTATATCAGACGTGCCTCTCGCAGTGAGAAGATTGTGTATCCTATAGAAAAAGAAAATGATTAATCGTTCTCTTAATGTGAACTTGACTATGGCTATCTGGGCAGTTGTATAATTTGAATAACAGACTAAATTAACTAAGGTAGTTTAATTGACTCACACAGTGGGTAGTTAGTTAGATATTACTAAGCAATGCTTAGTCAGGAGTGGCTGGCAGTTTATTCAACTAAGGTTAATTAATTGGCTGTTGTACGGAGTATTTAGTTACTCAGTTACTTACTAGGTATGAGCTATGGTGGACCGGAACTTGGATTTGTATGGTACTGACCAGTCATGACGATACCTACCAGACTCTATGGTAGCTGCACAATGTCTTCTCGGGAAATTTCTCGCTGTGGTTCAATCCTCATCCCGGGTGATTCCCCCTTCCATCTGACTAAAAATTCCTTCCTTGACACATTGCACCACCCCGGCTGAGTGACCTTCTTGTAGAAACACTTTTAGTTCCACCGTCACTGTATCTTTAGTGCGTGGTTACAAGAGAAGGCCACAATGGCATCCGATACCCTTGTCGGCAGCCAGCAAGAAGATGCTTATGAAGAGAAGAACGTGCATGAAGTATATCAGCAGATCGCGCATCACTTCTCATCTACCCGCTATAAGGTAACAATTTCTCGTGTCCTCTCCCCTACACTTCCTCCCTCTTCCTCCTCTAAATACAATGTATGTTTGCCGCTAACTGTGATCCCAATAGCCGTGGCCTATTGTGAAGCAATTCCTCACAGATTTGAAACCTGGGTCCATCGGCTTAGATGTGGGGTGTGGCAATGGCAAGAACCTGAGCGTAAATAAAGATGTCTTCATCGTAGCTTCAGATCGGTATGTTGTCTTCTTTATCTTTTATATATCTCCGTGACTCTAAATCCTCTTGTTTCGCTTTCTACCCCGCTATGCTCTTCCACAAAAGACATTATCCCCAACCCAAACAAAGATGAACAATGACACACATGTTTTGCTGGGTCAGAGAGCTGATCAACGCTTTAATAGATCTGTGAACCTTGCCCGCATTGCCCAGAGACATCAGCCACATTCGACCGTAGTCGCCGACATCCTTAGCCTCCCGCATCCTGATTCTTCCTTTGATTTCGCCATATCGATCGCTGTGATCCACCACCTGTCCACCCCAGAACGAAGGATCAGTGCCATCCGTGAGATATTGCGGACAATAAAGCCTGCCTCCGCGTCGGCACCGGGTGGAAAAGCCCTGATCTACGTCTGGGCTCTAGAGCAGAAAGATAGTCGGCGTGGTTGGGACAAAGGCGATCAGCAAGATAGAATGGTTCCATGGGTTATGAAGGGCACCGCCTCTGCTGGCAGCGAGCCCCAAGTGTTCCATCGATACTACCACCTCTACCAAGCCTCGGAACTAGAGCAGAACATCAACGAAGCAGGTGGCCATGTCCTGGATTCGGGTTATGAAAAGGACAATTGGTGGGTGATCGCCACACGTCCATGTCCCAAGTCATCATAAGGTGCGTGCAGAGGGTGCAGCAGATTGTCTGAGGTCCAGCCTCAGAGATGACGCCGTATCACACTTGAATGGCATGGCATGCAGTGAAGCCAGCAAGTTTGCTGTTCCCTATGGTGGTCAACCATTTATAACTTTTTCTTTTTCTGCAAATCAAACTGCAAAGGCGATGCAAAGGCGATGCAAAAACCACATACCACCTATGCACATACCGAAGATGAATATCTAGGGTAAACTCTCCCTTTCAACGACCAATACCTCCAATCAGCGCTATGCAACTCGTAACGACGCAATGGGAGAAAATAGACATAGTCATCATCACCGCTTCCCCCGGCCTGCCTAGGGAAGGGTTCGAGGAGGAAGACCGAGGTTCGGCCCGAATGGGCCGCCTTGGCCGCCACCCAAATCCACAGGGCGCCCTATTCTATATGCTTCACGGGGCGGCAGGAAGGACGGAGGTGGCGCAAAAGCAGGTACCCCAGCAGTGAGTTCTTCAACAGACGGAAGCTGTGGGGGATGATGTATCGACCGTGAAGTCGATCCTTTCCTTGGTCGAGACAAAGATGTACTGGCTCTGCGTGCTCTGGGCGCAGGGGGGTCGATAGCTGTGCTTGACAGCGAAAAAGGAACGACACCTGCACGACGAGCCATCTCTTGCTCTCCCAACTGCCAATGCATGGCTTCTGCTGCCCGCCAAGGAATCGCCATTTCCTCTGCGACCTTCGACCACATCTCTGCCTTAAACCTGCGATCGAGTCAGCCTACCATCACCCACGAAACCAAGATACGTTGACAATTTGGAGGCAAAGCCTGCCAAACATAGCGTACCTCTCATACAGCCGCGCGAGCTTGTTCTTCTTATCCTCATCCCACTCACTTCTGCGTTCCAAATAGTTCTGATAGTGGAGACGACAACTAATAGCGCTTCGACCAGGGAGGCGCTTGCTAATATCTTCCCATTTCATGCCGCTGCCCCGCAATTCGATAATAAGAGCATCTTCTTCGGGAGACCATTTCGACTGCTTCTTGGCAGGCGACTCTGCCGTATGAGCCGGTTGAAGACGCTTAATAGGGACTGAAGCCGAGACTTTGGAAAGTGGCGGTACAGCCGTTGCTGGATGGATTGAAGTTGGCGTCGCCACGGGTAGGGGAGGGACCAACGAAGCTGACGGTATCGTGCTGGGCGCATAGGTTGGCGCGGTAGTCACCGGGGCGGTCTCTTCTTCATCCTGCGGTTTCAATAGCAGTGAGATATCCACTTTGGCGGGAGGTAAGATGGCCTGGTTTTGTAACGCAATCATATGCGCGATTCGCAATGAAGGATTGCTGCTGCTCTTGTATAAAGAACTTGCGACTAGTTTTTCTTAGGAATAGTCGATGCCAGAACAGGAGATGCAATTATGGGAGCCGACTGTTGCGGGGATATCTTGGTTATCGTATGCAATGTAGAGATTCAGAAAATGTAGACCAAGAGCTTCCAACAATGTTGACGAAAGCAAGCTAAGAGCACATGCGCGTTTAGACCTGACAGATGAAGATAGCAGAGATTCACGGGAAGCCAGGAATTCCAGATCTGGATGCAAGAGCTCGTGGCACCCCGGGTGCTTTTAAGAATAGGCAAAAATAGGAAGCTGCCAGATAGGGACCAGTCCACGATCAAGCAGGAGAGCGAAACCACAGAGCAGGGAAAGCGATGTGAGCAATAACTTTTTTTGGGAGACAGTAGACGGTGGTCTGATACGTCGAATAGTCTGGGAAGGTTGTGGAATTGTGCCCCCGGCTGGCAGGTAGACAAGAAGTAGTAGTAGAGGGTGGGTAAGTCCTGGCTAGGCGCAACGTATACAAGCGACAAGGAAGAAGTGAAAACTGAGGCGGGAGATAACAATCATCGAGATCAATCGTGAAGGAGGAAGGGGGGAAAGACCAGACACGACAGTTGAAACGCTTGGAAATGCATAAGAAAAGAGATCATCGGCATTGACAGCTGATGGAACAGACAGCAAATGAAAAGCTCAACAGTAATGGTAAGGTGGTGGTAGCTGATACTAAGGTAGAGTAGGTACTAGGGTATGGAGAACAGGAGACAGAGGCTAATAATGAAGAGGCGAGGCCAGGGCCCAGTGGTGGGGGGGGGAGGGATGGTTTTTTTCTTTTTTTTCTTTTTTTTCTTTTTTTTTTTTGGAAAACTGTCTAATAAATAGACGAAGCACGGTAATATGATTAGGTAGGCATGGATTGACCGTTGTGGTTAATTAGGTGACCTACTTGGTTGACTCGTATTCGGTAGATTGTTATTTTTCATTTATTAGCGAATCACTTGAGTAGCTTTGCGTACAAAGTATATGATATAGAATTCATAATGCCAGCCCTGTAGCTAGCTAGTCATTATAGTCAGTCATCAGTTAATAGATATACTTAGCTGATTAAATCCATTACGATCTCAACTGACTTAAATGGAATACAGCCTGGTGTAGTTTGCCCCTAAGTTTCTGCATCGATCACTTCTAGAAGAGCATGCGCACTCCCCATGATCGTTGTACTATGTAGGTAATCAAGAACACTCTCCTCGATTCGATTATCCCTCAAGCATTAAACAGGATTGATGGAACAGTAGTCATCCACCACCAAAGAGGACAAGAAGATCAGGTCAAGCGTTAAGGCAGAGACAAAGAAGGGGGGAAAAAAGAGACAGAAAACAGAATAGCGACCACAAGAACAACGGTTCCACTCGCGGATACTAAACTATACTGGAACGGAAGGCTTTCCTGGCGGTCAAACCTCGCCCCGAACGTTCGAGCCCAGCCTCGGTCTGGTAATTATAGTGACTTGCGTGATTTGTTGATGAGGTCCGGAGTATACTCTGGCGAAAAAGGAAACAGTTCAAATTGTCGTAATGCCGTAGTCCATGAGTAAAACATCTCTTCGCCTTCGCAGGTGTTCGCACTACATTTCTATGAAAAGAACTTGAAACGTAGGCAGTTGCGGGCGGGCTTGCAATATATTCATCGATTTTTGTTCCTTTTATGCTAAAACTGACTTGTGTCGGGTCACTCTGGACCATTATGCAATCATAGGACAAACCCGGAGAGGCAGGATGGTAAGTCAATGCGAGTGATGAATAGTCTAAGCCACATAGGCTTGTTCTGGTGTTGAACAGTCGAAAATCCTGTTATAAGATGTAAAGTGAAAGTTATTCAAAGTTATTTGGGGGTCATACTGTAGATACATTGGTGTATAGATCAGGGAAGGCAGAACAGGAGGGAGAGAGTGATTAAAAGAGATTACTAGAGGATAAAAGTCAAATGAGATAAAATCAAATTGATGGAAACTTACAAGGAGGGAAGGATTATCCTAAAGTCAGTAACAATAACAGCAACAGGAATGATGATGGTGATAGTGATGACGATGATGATGATAATAATAATATTAATATTAATTTTAATATTAATATTAATAATAGTAGTAGTAATAACAGTAATAATAACACTAATAGCACCAACACTAATAAGACAGACGGCCAAAGAACATGGTTCCTCCCTGTGGGGAACGCCATCCTCCTAAACCGGGAGGTGGAAATGGTATGAGTAGCCCCAATCAAAAGGCGAATATGGGCAACAATGGAGAGGACGGATGCGTAACAGCGACGGCGTCGAGCCGACTAGTCTCCCAGAGCCTCGGCCGAAACGGAGTCAGCCGCTTTTGCTCAGGCTGTAGGTAAAATTGCATGAAGTGAAGGAAGGAAGGTACATTTTATTACCTCTACAATAAGTACTAATTAAGTAACTACATGTAAGTACTTACTAACTACCTAACTAAGTACAGGGTACTGCCAGTGATGCAATGAAAATAGGGTTCTGTCAACTTCCAATTTAACCAAGCAGAGCTCTGGAAACAAACCTTCCCCCTCCCTCACTCAAATCATGCTTCAGAAAATTCTCCGACTGCTTGGAGGCTGCTGCTGTCATCACAGTATTTGTGATCCCTTGTGTTTTTAGTTGCCGCCACACTCGGTTCCTCCAACTAGGTTCCAGGTAGAAGGTACCTACTCACCTAGTGACTACCAGGTACTCAATCGACAAGATGTAAATTTCCGAAGAACGAACGGTGCCGTGTCCTCTCCCACCAATGACCAAGTCTGATGGCTGGTGGTACCAGACCGTCGCGATGGATCTGTCAACGGCGAACGAGCCCCAATGCCTTGAATGGCAAGTATCGGCCCAAGTAATATCACTCAGCCGCTAGCTGGGATCCGGGGGTCTAGTAGTTCTTAGCAACGGTTCGCCTTGCCCACTTTCTGCACTTTCGTGCCTCAAATTCTTAACTAACCGACCTTATCGGACCCAAGCCGGGCAGGCGTGTAATAAACGCACAGGGAAAGAATAAGCAAAACGGAAGCGAGAGTGAAAACTGAGACTTGAAGGCTTCGAGCCTGTGACTGCTGTGACATGTCCTCATTCAAGTCACTCGTTCTTATCATGTTCGTCGAGACTCTATGATGACCCAGTGAAATCGAGATCTCATGAGGTCAATCAAAGCGGGTTGGCCTCCTAGTACAGTTCCAACTGAACTTGAACCCCTCCCCATCAAGATAGAATAGTCCCGCGTCCCCAAAAAGGTCAGCAAGAGGAAGTTGATACATCCACATTTCAACAGTGACAGGGCGGTAACTCGCCCTTTGCCGTGACTGTGGAGTGGTTAAACTTCCGGGTTCCATGAGTGGGCTTGGGTTTCATCTTCACTTCCGGTCTGAAGGAAGCGGCGGCGTGGGTCGGAAATTTGCTACAGACCCATTTTATTTAATGTTCCTCCTGTTGCTTCGTTTTAAGGGTACCTACAAATCCATAGTCTCGTAAAGTTCATACCTTCGGTAAATCTTGGAGCAAGTCGCTTTCTTGCTCATGCTTGCAAAGCCAAATCTTTCCTGCTATCTGACCTTTGAGTATACACGGATCTAAATCAAAGTAATCTCGAAGATATAGGGTGCTCTTTTGGCTTGTTGCATTCGGCTTTTACCTAAGTTTCTAATCTTTCAGCCAGCACACAAACCTTACTGTGTGCCATCGAGAATCGTCTGACAGCCATCAACCTTGGCTTTTCCTCCCTCACCTCCTACTGCTCTATTGCTCTTTACCTTTTCACCCCGTTCAACCTTAAAGATTGTAGTCAATACCGCTGCACGTTGCCAAGGGCTAGAAGATGACTTTGATGCTGATTTAAGCCCCATGTATGGGAATTGGTCGGCACACACGAGACTCTATAGAGTATGTACAGGCATGTACATACAGTACTCCGTACTTACGCACGGCTTCTCTCTCTGATGTATTCATCTTTTTTATGGTCGGTCGGGATCAAGACTTGGGCCCGATGGGTCCGTCTCGATACTTAAAGTACTTAGTAGTTTCCTTGGGCTCACATCCTCCAGTAATTTGGAGTGTGAAGATCCTCTGGCCTGGACCCCTTGGAAACAGGAGAACTATCTGGGCCCAGACCTATCAGGTTCGCAAGACGCGTGGTTTGCTCGACCTGCGGTTTAAGTAAAAAGATATCGATTTGGTGATTTATTGCTGGTGCTCGCTATTCTCCTCTTCAATCGCCCTTGTGTCTTCTTTTTCTCTTTTCTCCATCCTTCTATGGGCCCCCGAATAAGTAGATATGACCTCAGCCCCCGTCTCGTGACCCTGCAAGATGGTTCGATCGGCCGCCTAGGTAGAGGCAGGGGTGGACAATTGAAGGTTTGAGTACAGTATTCAGAGTACTACGCGTTTGAACAAGAGAAAATAATACAATGGAAATGCCTCCATGTGTGCGGTGCGGAGTGTCTGGGCCACGGGGGGATTGATTGCCTTTCGAACGACGGGGCCACGGGAACAAGGGGTTTCCCGAGCCTGCAAGCCTGCAACAGTCTGCAAGATTACCTAGGGACCGGTGGGGTCGGTCCAAACGGTGGCGCCTTGAATAAGTACAGTACTGTACATTCATGTTAATCCTCCACTCTTCTCTTACAGACTGGATTTACGCCATTTCTTCCCGACCGACCAAGAATTGAGTGGGGGGAGAGGAACCTGGAAGTCATTGCCCCCGGGCAGCAGTTTGACCCGGCCATATTTGACAGGCTAAGTGGGCCAAGCAATGTCATAACTAGTGGGCCGTTCCATTACTCAGTGACATGGCAAACGCGCTGGCCGTGGAAGGCGCCCACGAACGCGAGGCTCGAAAGTCCGTACTTTTCCCTAACCCCAGTCCATTAGAAGCAAGCACAGCATTCCCCGTATGTACCAGACTCAAAAAGCAACCAATAACCATAATCATCTTCATTTCATTGTCAATTCGGTCTGCTATTATTTCCCCCCCCCCCTCCCTCCCCATTGCTGCCGCTGAGTGCATGCTTGGGGCGATATAATGCGCCAGCCTGTCGATGCTTTATCGAACTAAGTAGGTAGGCTATTGTCTATGCAGCTAAACAGCTCTTGAGCTACCATGGTGGTCAGTCGCCTTCTTTTTTCCTTTTACCCAGCTCTGATTATCTTGCTCGTCTGGAAATTAGTACAATACAATAGGCCACTCGGTCAAATCCTGGAATGCTCTCTTCGCAATGCCAAATATAGTTTGAAGACTTGCAACCCCACGAGTACTG